AACCTGTCCCACTTCATTTTTAATGAGTTAAGGTGGATCGAGGCGAGTTGACCCATTTTACTATGAATAACTTTCTTGATGTTGTTCCCGAAAGTCCTTGGGCGAAAAACTTTCCTCGAAACAACTCTCTCATCATTTAATTTTTCATTTCTCTTTCAACGATCAGCATTAATTGGGAGTCTTGACTATTAGAAGATGACCATTTCATATGCATCTGAAAATATTTTTAGATTTAGATTTCACGTTTATATATATTTGATCTTGATCAATTTTTTGACATCGCCATTTTTATGCCAGAGATACCCTAAGGTTTAAAGTAATTACATTTCATCTTTATTATGAATTATCACTATTATATATATATATATATATATATATATATATATATATATGTCCAGTTTTCATATTTTTCTATTATTTCTTTGACTGTGATTTCTTAAATTCCGCAATTGAATAGGAATAAATAAATACAAAATATAATTAATTTAAAACCGATTTAGGTCAAATAATATTTAACTAAGCTTAATTTAATAATTTTTAATTAAATAGTAATATATTGCTTTAAGAAATGAGGATGGGGCCCGGGTTACTGATAAGGAGGAGCTCATTAACATGGCCAGGAATTATTTTGAAAACCTGTTTGCTCCTAGTGAAGAGGAGATTGAAGATTTTCCAGTGAAAGGTCTGTTTCCTACTCTTAGTAATGAAGAGAAGGATTACCTTGCTAAAGTGCCTACAAGTGAGGAGATTCGTAGAGTGATTTTTAAAATGGAAAAGTTCAAAGCTCCAGGGCCTGATAGTTTACAGGCTATGTTTTTCCAAAATCATTGGAAATTTGTGGGGGATTCTGTTTGCAGGCTAATTATTAATATTTTTCTGGATCCTAGGAAAGTTAAGGAAATCAATAAATCATTGATTTGTCTTATTCCTAAGAAAGACAGCCCAGAAAATATGAAGGAATTTTGTCCCATCAGCCTCTGCAATGTAGTGTATAAGGTGGTGACTTAAATTATAGCAGAAAGATTGAGAGACTTTACGCCTAGGGTGGTTTCTCCAAACCAGTGTAGCTTCATTAAAGGGAGACATAGTGCAGATAATATTATTATAGCTCAAGAAGTTGTGCATTCTATGAAAGAGAAGAAATGGAGGAAAGGGTGGATGATGATTAAGGTGAATTTGGAGAAGGCTTATGACCGACTTAGTTGGAAGTTTATCAAGGATACCTTGGAGGATTTGGTTCTACATAAGAATCTGTTAGAGTTGATATTTAACTGCATATCAACTAGCACAATGAATCTTTTGTGGAATGGGAGATTAACAAAAGACTTTAATCCTCAAAGAGGAATTAGACAAGGAGATCCTATTTCTCCATATCTTTTTGTCTTGTGTGTTGAGAAATTGGCTCATCTTATTCAGTTAGCTGTGGATACCAAAGCTTGGAAGCCAATCATGGTAAATAAAAGTGCCCTTCCTTTATCTCATTTTTTTTTTGCAGATGATATCATCCTTTGTGTAAAGGCTTCTCTGGACCAAGCTTATGTTATTAATCAGGTCCTCAAGCTGTTTTCTGCTGCTTCGGGCCAGAAAGTCAATGAAGATAAATCAAGAGTGCTTTTTTCTAAGAATGTGGGTATTAATAGAGCTAAGGAAATTAGTGATTGTCTTGGAGTGGGAATTACTAGTGATCTGGAAAAATATCTTGGTGTTAATCTAAATCATAGAAGAGTTTCCAGAAGTTCTTTGAATTATGTGGTGGAAAGGGTGCAGATTAGGCTATCTTCTTGGAATCAAGCCTCTTTATCTTTAGCAGGGAGGATCACATTGGCCAAAGTTGTCCTGGAAGCTCTTCAAACATATACAATGCAAACCATTTATATTCTTATCAATATCTGCAAGGAGGTGGAGAAGCTGACTAGGAGCTTCATTTGGGGGTGAAGTCCTAATAAAAGGAAGGTGCATCTGGTGAGCTGGAAAAATATATGCAGGATGAAGGAGGATGGAGGTCTCGGGTTAAGAAATCAGAGGCTGATCAACAAAGCTTATGCTATGAAGATTGGTTATGGGGTGATGAAAAATAATGGTGCTCTCTGGGCCAGAATTCTGAGAAGTAAATATAAGGTGGGTGCTGATTTAATTCCTATGTTAAAAGAAGCTAGAATTAATTCTAACGCTTGGAAAGGAGTTTGCAAAAGCTGGAGACATGTTCATGATGGGGTGGGAATTCATATTGGAAATGGGAATAGAAAAAAGTTTTGGTGGGATAAATGGGTCCATGACATGGGAAGGCTGATAGATAGAGTTATTGAGCCCATTCCGGAGGAAGCAAATAATTGGTGGGTGGTGGACTGTGTAGATCATGAAGGATGCTGGCAGTGGTCAAAGTTCAATAAATTCCTTGATGATGAGGCTATTGTTGCTATTTCTAATGTGAACCCTCCATCTAAGGCAGCTGGGGTTGATAAGGTGATTTGGAATCACTCATCCACATGTATTTTTTCCATTAAATCTGCTTATAATTCTTTGAATAGTTCGCCGGATAATGATGATGGCAGAAACTGGACTTTGGCTTGGGAGTGGGAGGGTCCTCAGAGGATTAGAGCCTTCCTCTGGTTATTTATTGGTGAAAATTTGCTCACCAATGATCAAAGGTTGAGAAGAAATCTCTGTGAGGATGCTAAATGTATGAGATGTCAGGATGCTGTAGAGAATTGCAATCATATTTTCAGGGAATGCATCTGGTCCAGACACATTTGGCAGCTATGTTTTAAAGGTATGGAGTTTAATTCTTTTTGGGAGGAGAAGTTTAAAGTTGGGTTGAAAGAAACTTGAACAGGAGAAAACAAAATAGAGATTGGAGGAGGTTGTTTGGGGTTATATGCTGGTTGATATGGAAGGAAAGAAATAACATGGTTTTTAATGATGATTGGAAAACTTCTACCGAGATTGTGAATTATGCTCATTCGTTCATTCAGAATATAACAGTGGTTAATAATTTGTTTTTTAAGGCTTGGCTTCTTAAGCTACTAGGAATGATATGAATTTTCAATGGAAAGCTCCTCCCCCCAATTGGATCAAGTTTAATTCTGATGGTGCATGCTATGAGAAGGGTACTTTGCAAGAAATTGTCATGGGAATTGGATCTCTGGATTTTCAAAAATACTTGGCAGTGACAATGTGCTGATGGCTGAATTATGGGCAGTAATAATTGGCTTAGAATGGGCTTGGGTGAAAGGCTATCATCAGGTGATTGTTGAAATTGATTCTATGGATGCTCATGAATTGATTCTCCAGGGATGCGTGATATCTCATCCTTGCCATATGCTCATGCTTAGGATCAAGGAGATGCTGGGGAAAAACTGGATGGTGAAGGTTGTTCATGTGCATAGAGAAAGTAACAGAGTAGCTGATTGGTTGGCTGGTCATGCTCCTAGAGTGGATAGGAATGTTGTCTGGTATAGTGAGCCTCCTGAGGGTTGTAGAGGTCTTTTGTTGAGAGACATTAGAGAAGATAGTGCCTAGGATATTGGGTAGGTAGTTGGTTTTTTGTTTCTGTTTAGTTTCCTTACTTGTACAAAAATAATAATTAAAAAGTAATATATTATTTTAGTAGGTCAAATAATAGTCAAAATGGTTAACATATTAAGGTGGTTTGCGGGGGGTGGTTCGTGATTGTGCAGGTAATTGGGTTCTTGGCTTTTGCAGGAACTTGGGAAGTGAGACTGCTTTCAATGCCGAGCTTTGGGCCTGCCTGATTGGTCTGGAGCTTTGTTGGAACAAAGAAAGGGTATGGCCTATTGCCTGTTTTGAGATTTTAAACTTCTTTTAAAATAGGAGTGAACTAGTATGATCTTCCTTTCATAGGAATTCACTTAAATATCAAACACATTTTACTAATAGAGATATATCGAATCAGCATGATCGTAGAATTCACTTCCAAGGTCCAAAACATTTTATTAATAGAGGTACATCGCTTCTATTAATGCGTCACTCTAGGCACTCACTATGATTATTTTTCAATTCAGTAGTTTGAGCTTATTAACATATTTTACTGAATAGTTTATTTGGAATGAAATTTTTGAATAGAAGGAAAAAGAGAGGAATACAGATTATACCCATCTCATAATTAATATACATTTTATAGAGATAAAAAAAAAAATTAAGGGGAATAATACTTTTGTGACTCCCATTACTTTTTAATTTTTCCTTTATCTATAAAGAAGGAAAAAGGAAGAAGCTTTGTGCACATCATCATATTTTTACATGCATTTTTATTTATTTACATATATATATATTAATTTTTTTTTACAAACTTATAAATTATATTATATTTGATCGGTAATACTCTACTCAAAAGTATCATACTGATCCGACATAATATAATTTGTAAGAGTTTATAAACAAAAAATTTATAAATATAACCTTATCCTATTTTTATTATTTAACCAAATAAAATAAGAAAAACATCAATTCTTTTCATCATATAATATAAAATAACGAAAAATGATAATATATTAGTTTGAGACAGAGAATATTCGAAGTTGCAAACTTTATTAAAGAAAATGGGTCAGGATTATTTTACACCAGTGTAAGTTACACTCTCAATTTTATCCGTTGATTCCATTTTTATCTAACGGCTCAAATTTTTTAGTAATGTGAGTCATTGGATATAAGTGGATCAATGGTCAAGATTGAGTGTAAGACTTCTAACTTTTACACCGATGTAAGAACATCCTGCCCCAAAAGAAAATTGTCATGCCATATTTATTAGAACAGTATGGGGCACCCGTTAAATTCTCATCTGCTTTTTTTCTACCCTGAACCGTCACCTAATACATCACGTGGTCAACGCGTGGCCAATTAGAAAATGACAAAGTTCCCGAACAAGCCATGATATTAGTAATATTCCGAAAGAGAGAAAGAGAATAAACCTTTGTAGCAAATTTGGGATAGGAATAGATCAGTGATTGGAGGACAATTTGGTCATTCCAGCAAAGTATCATTAATATTTTCGAAAACATTTTCACTTGCAGACGAGAGAGAGACGAGGTGGTCGGTGTTCCCGTTGGTCCATTCCGAACCACCAAAACCAACAAAATCGACCAAAAAGCCCCGTTTATGATTCGCAATTTATACGTTATCGTCAAGTTAATTCCCGTAATATAGTTGCAAAATTGAAGTAATTGAAGATTATGGGTATGGGAATAACGATGTAATGAGTAGTGAGTACGAGTTAGAGGGGTTGGGTTCTGAAACCGGTTTTTTTCTGGTATCCAAATCCTCCACGAGAAAATTGACAACCACCTAGGAGGAGGTTGTGGAGGATTGAGCGTATCAAAGGGTACTAATACAAGAAGTTAAGAACCTCATTGCATAAAGAAAGGGAAGATAAACCAAAATCGTCATCAATTTTTTGAGACCCCAGATTTTTATCTGAATCTGTAAGTCTATGCTTTCTCACCTTTGGATTGTCAATGCTCTCCTTCCATTTTTATTTTTATTGGGTGGGAAAAAAGTTTTGTTTTGTTTTCTGATTTTTATACATTACATCGATTATTCTGTTTCTATCTGTATATATATATTTTTCCCAAATTAATGATATTTATGTTTGCCATGCAGTGCTGTTGTTGATCAGGAACCATAATAACTGGAAAAAGACAAAGGTTGGAGGAATACTTCATGTATAGTGTTGGGGTTGTTTTGATTGGAAGCAAGGCTTAAACTTTGGGGGTCTGTTTTTGTATTTTGGTGTTTTGACAAAAATGAATGTGGTAGGCAGAGTTGGAAGCTTGATTGCAACCCCTTTTCACCCCTTTGGTGGAGCTGTTGATGTGATTGTTGTTCAGCAGCAAGATGGGACCTTTCGGAGCACGCCTTGGTATGTTCGGTTTGGTAAATTTCAGGGTGTTCTCAAAGGTGCTGAAAAGATTGTCAGAATAAAAGTTAATGGTGTTGAAGCTGACTTCCATATGTACCTTGACAATTCTGGGGAGGCTTATTTTGTGAAGGAGGTGGATGATGATGATAAAGGAGTTGAGTCAAATGGGGTTGTTCAAGATTCTAGTAACAAAAATAATAGTTTTTTGAGTAATGTTCATAAACTTGATCATAGCATCTCGGATTCTGGGGTGCTTCGGTTGAAAGATGAAGGTGATTCCTTAGTTGTCCCTCCAATTCAAAGGGCAGAATCTGATGGTGATAGGAGATTTTACGAATTCCAAGATGATCGATCTTCTTTTGAAGATTCAGTTGAGTTGTCAGAATATGGGTCTAATTCATTTGAGAGTCCAGAGAGAGAGAATTTTGTGGACTCACACGGTTCCCTTCCAGAGATGGTCTTGGTGAGTGTGGATGGTCATATATTAACTGTCCCTATCTCAGAATCAGAGCAGAATGAGGAGAATGTGCAATTAAGAAATCCTCAGTTTCATCTGGGCCCAGGTGAAGAGACTGACTTATGTGAAGGGAATGAAGAGATGAGTTCTGGCGAAAGTGCTTCGGCTTCGGCTGCTGATTATACTAGTCAGCTGGATGCTCCAACAGGTGAATTAGCACCCACATGTTGCAACACTAATGGTGATGATAATACTTCTGTGCTCCCACTTGAAGTTTGTCAAGGAGAGGAGGAACATATTTGTCAAGTACAGGAAACCTTGGAGACTAAAAATCAAGATCTTTATATGCAAACTGATTCAGAAGGGGTTGTATCTGGTGTCGAGAGGGAGAATGTTTTTGAAAGCTGTTTGGAGCCACAAGAACTTGCCCAGCAGGCTAAAATTGCTGATTTACATGATTTAGCTTCATCATTGGAGGTTCAAAATTCGGCAATGAAATCTAATGCAAGTTGTCCGGTAGTTGATGAAAATGAACAAGAGAACATTGTACAATCTCAAAATGTTGATGAGTTGTCTCCCCCAAATGGTTCTATTTCTTCTGATGGCCATAGATCTCCAAAATCAGATTTGGGACTTCAAGAGATTGAGAAAAATGCATCAGTAGAAGTTGAAACTGCTTCTGGCTCTCATTCTGTTACTATTGATACTCAATGGAATGATGAACATATTGGCAAATCAGTGTCAAATGATGTGGTAGATGAGAGTCAACAATCCCCTGCACTTGAAGGTGTTAGTAATACAAGTGAGGTAGTGGAACCTCAAACAGAAACTTCAAATAAAGGGGATCAAGGTCATTCAGGTTTGAGTAAGACCTGTGCGGAAAATTAGTTGCTCTTGGATTCTGCAATTATTTATTTGATATTATTGGAGTATTTACTTACTTGCATTCATCTTATAATTTGCAGGATTTGAGATCTCACTTTGTGGTCATGAACTTAGGGCGGGTATGGGTTTGGTAGCTGCTGCTGAAGTGTTTGAAGCACATCGGATATCTGCAGTGGACTTTACAAGTTCTGCACCATCAATAATTAAGAATCAAAATCTTATTATCAGATTTAAAGAGAGGTACTTGACGTGGGAAAAGGCTGCTCCTCTTGTTCTTGGAATGACTGCGTTTGGTTTAGATTTACCTGTTGAGCCCAAAGATGCAATTCCTGTGGAACAGGATGATGCAGTAAAGTTCAGATATGATGATACTGGATCACCTTCGTCTGGACGCAGATGGAGAATTTGGTCTCTTCCTTTTCGAAAGGTCAAGACACTTGAGCGCACCAATAGCAACTTATCAAATGAGGAGGTATTTCTAGATTCTGAGTCTGCATCTCTTGTAGAGCCAACTCCAACTTCCAGTACCCAGGGATCTCCTCGTAAACAATTTGTAAGGACAAATGTTCCCCCTAATGAGCAGATAGCATCCTTGAATCTCAAAGATGGTCAAAATTGGGTAACCTTCAGTTTCTCTACAAGGGTTCTTGGAACACAACAGGTTTTGACATTTATTGATTGTCTAAGTTCCCATATGAAGTTATATGCAGTGCTTGGGTTTTGTTTATTTAAGAGAAAATTTTTAATTGCGTAACAGGTTGATGCTCATATATACTTATGGAAGTGGAATGCAAGAATCGTAATTTCGGACGTTGATGGAACTATTACCAAGTAAGGCTACTAATAATGCTTCTTGTGCTACTAAATATTCTTTCAAACTTGACATAGATGCTTCTTCACCGTTGTTATTCTTCTCTACCGTCTTTCTGACTTTGTACTCCATTTAATTGGACATTTATTTAAGATGAAATCCCTGTAGGCACCTATCATTCAAATTTTGATAGTTATTGATGCTGTTGAGACTGTTACCAAAAGAAGGACAATAGGGAAGGGGGTGCAGGATCTGATTTGAATATATGAAGTTTCAAATTTTAGTTGTCTGTCATCTTGGGTTCAGGCTTTGTGTAATCTTATGGTGCATTAAATGACTTGTTGTCGGAGTGGGATGAACCAAAGCATCTATCATCAGCTTGTGTGCATTCTATATTAAATTCCTCGGCTGATCCCTTGACTGAATCTTGAACAGAATGGTCTTTGTTACTCTGGGTTGTTTTTTAAAAGTATTTACCCATGCCAATTGTGTCTGAGTTATTTGTACATGCATAAGAAAAAGATGTTAAGCATGATTGCATTCGCCGTTATGCCTAGACAAACATGTCTGAATGAAAGTTGTACTAAAAAACACTATAAAGGAAATAGAAGGCAGAATTGCATTATGGTTTGAGAATCATAATCAGCACCTTGTTTTTTCCTTTCTTTTAGGTCTGATGTTTTGGGGCAGTTCATGCCTTTAGTTGGCAGAGATTGGACTCAGTCTGGAGTGGCAAGGCTTTTCTCTGCCATTAAGGTATGTACATTGTTTTATTTATAAAGATCTAACTTATGTTCAATTCAGCTGGAGTTGGAATGTTAAGGCCAAAATTTGGTAAGGTAAATGGAAACAGATCTTCATAGGATTTTTATAAGAAGCATCTTGTACATATAATGTTTAATTTAATTTCCGCTTTGTTGTTGCTGCTTATTCATTATGTTTCTGGTTACTATGTTGTGTTTCTTAACTAAGATGTATACATGATTCTCAAATTAGTGGTTTGAGTTTGTATAACTGGCAAAGGGACAAAGAAAAGAAAATTCAGTTACCAAGTAACATCTATATACCTCTTGGCTATTCTATTTTAAGGATGAATTGAGCTGTAGACTAGAATTGCTTATTGCATCTGCAGTTATTTAAAGCACACTCTCTCTGGGGTGGGTTTGTTAAAGATCTTATGACCATAAATGCAAATGGGTTTGGAAGGAACTGAACCCTGCTCCTTTGAGCTTGGGCTTGAGATTGCTCAGCAAATGAGCCTGAAGCCTGGTCAAGTCATTTTTTTGCTCAATCAACAAGCACAGTTGCTCGGAAGGCTAGTGTCCATGGTCTGTTGTTGTTACCATACAACATTTATGGCTTTCTTTTACTTCCCCCCTTTTTCACTTGCATTTCATCAATATTGTTATTGTTGCTGTTATTATTATTATTACTATTATTGTTGTTATTTTTATTATTATCATTATTCGGTTTTGGACTAAATTTCTGCTTACGTTTCTTCCGTTGGAATGAAAACGCAAATAAATATAGGAAAAATAGTTTATCCTTTTAAAGGATCTAAGTTATGTCTTTTTATCCCCTCATAACTATGTACTCTAGGGAGTACATAGTTATAATATTAAAGTTGTACTTTTTTCTCTCTCTTGAGAAACTGTCGGTTGAAGTGAGAAGTGGAAAAAAGTACAACTTTAATATTATAACTCCCCGGAGTACATAGTTATAAGGGGGTGAAAGGACACAACTTAGGTCCTCTAAATGGACAAAACGTTTTCCCATAAATATAATGGTTATTAGCATAACTTTTACTGTCTCTCTAATGCAAATTGTAGCCTAGCATGCATGATGATATCATGATACCTAATGTTCCATAGATTTGTATCTCAAGAAGATCAATGTCTAATAGTAGATCCGGATTTTATGTCAGGAAAATGGATACCAGCTACTGTTTCTGAGTGCCCGGGCAATTGTCCAGGCATATCTAACCAGGAACTTCTTGCTTAACCTGAAACAGGTATTGAATCAACCTGGTTTTCTATTATCAATGACAGCTTAATTTCCTATATTAGAATTATTCTGTGCTTCTAAGTAGCTGCATCAAAGAATTTGTCTATGAGAATTTCTTTGAAAAGGTAGGCATCAACTTTCATCCACCTTCTAGTTTTGTGAAGCGATATGGATCTTGATTTAATATCCAAAGACATTAGTTTTTCTTAACTGCACCTGTGGCTGCTTATTAAGTCATCGTTTCAAGGTAGTCTGTTACAAACCTCTACTCAGATCATGAAAATAAGAACAGAAACAGAGATCATTGGCCTGAATAACTTCACCTTTTTCATATATTGAGCAAAAGATAATTACAAGACAGTCTCACTGAGACAATTACAGGGAAATCAAGACAATTACAATGAACTGGAAATCAAAATAACAAAGCACAAAGAAATAAAAGATAATGTGAGACAATTCTAGAGTTCTCACTCTCCTAATTCCAAAAGGGCCCAGTCACTACTAAGATTCCAGATACCCAACCATGCTGCCTTCCCTTTGTATATAACTACCTTCAAGTCACCTCCACGCTCTCCATTCTGTTACGGGGCAATTTGGGAAACTCCTAGCTGACGTGGCAGTAGCTGTGTATGTTTGTTGACTAGGATCGTATCATAGTCAAAGGCAAAGATGGCCTTAAGGTACCATGGGGTTTTAATGCCTTGAAACAGGAGATGCTAAAATTGCTAGTTTGACTGAATAAAAAGAAGAAAACAGTAAAATATTTGGCTATTTTACATTTTACATCAACTTGCTATATAGGTGAGGTTAATTAATCATGCAAACATTAATTTTTATATTAAAGCCAAAAAGAAAAATGTTTAAAGCAGGATAATAAGTGGGTAACAAGTTCTAGATATTAAAGATCGTAATTGGAAGACTTGACTACCAGGAAAATTTCATTAAGGTGTTAAAGGCAAGAGAAGACAGTACCAAGGGCGCCCTTAACTACACTGCATCATTTTATTTACTTTTTTGCAATTAAGTTATCATTTTGTTACCCCTGTCCATGTCTCTCTATGTGTGTGTGTGAGAGAGAAGAGACAGTAAAGATTTCTTTGTTATGTTCTCTTTTTATTGGCATGTTTGATTTTTCTGGCCTCATTTTGCAATAATAGTTCTTTAGCTAAATAAAAGTTTTGTATATTTGCAGGATGGAAAAACCTTACCAAATGGACCCGTTGTTATTTCTCCTGATGGATTATTTCCCTCACTTTTCCGAGAAGGTGAGGCACTTTTAACCTGAGATTAATTAAGGTTGCATTGAATCCTACAATGTAGTCACTTGTTAGCTGTGTGATGATAATTGTAAAGAACCTTGGGATACACCACCCCAAAAGCTAGCTCAAAGGATGGGAGTGCCCAAGGCCTTATAAACTCCACATTAGTTGCACATACAACCAATGTGGGACTATATATCTCAACACGCCCCCTCACACGAGAACCCATTGGGCTTGAAGAGTGGACAATGCAACAGGCCCAGCCTACCTGTGCTAAGAAACGCCACAATAGAAAGTGAGGGGCGGCGAGACTCTGATACCATGTAAAGAACCTTGGAATACACCACCCCAAAAGCTAGCTCAAAGGATGGGAGTGCCCAAGGCCTTATAAACTCCACATTAGTTGCACATACAACCAATGTGGGACTATATATCTCAACAATAATGACTTCACTTTCTGCTGATGCAATTTTGCTTTTTGTTTGATGAATCTTTCTTTATGAAGACTATACTGCTGTCTCAAAGAAATCAGAGAGAGAGAGAGAGAAGAAAGAGAACGAGAGTGAACAGAAGAGAGAGAGAGTGAATAGTTCATTAAAATGAAAAGTATTACACGAAGCTCATTTATAGAGCTCAGATTTATGCCACGTCATCTAGTTCATTTACAACTATAATCAATTAACTAAACTGATCTATTTTGCTAATTACAAAATTAACCCTGTGTACAACTGTACACCTTTATCTACTCTAATATGCCCCCTCAAACTCAGGGTGGATGGAGATAACTAAGAGTTCACCACCTTGAGTTTTTCCCTCAACACAGCAAACCGTGAGGCAGATAAACTCTTAGTAAGAGTGTCAGCAACTTGGTCCAAGGCTGGAATGTGGCAAACTTTTATTTCCTTAGTAAGAACACACTCTCTGACAAAGAAGATATCTAATTCCATATGCTTAGTCCTGGCATGAAGAACAGGATTATGAGACAGAGAGACAATACTCAGATTGTCACAAAGGATGAGAGAAGTACTAAACTGAACTTGAAGCTCATGAAGAAGAGACTTGAGCCAGAGAACTTCTGCTGTAGCTAGAGCAAGGCTGCGATACTCAACTTCTGTACTAGATCGAGCAACAAGATTTTGTTTCTTGGACCACCAGGATACTAAGTTGGATCCAAAAAAGACACATGCTCTTGAAGTGGACCTTCGATCATCAGGGTCACTAGCCCAATCTGCATCACAGAATGCTGTGATAGAGAATAAATGGCTAGGATTGCATGGATGTAACAACATACCATGATGTAAGGTGCCATTTAAGTAACGTAAAATTCTTTTGACAGTAGCCCAATGTTCTTCAAGAGGCTGAGCCATAAATTGACAAGCTTTGTTTACTGAGTAGCTGATTTTAGGTCTAGTGAGTGTAGCATATTGGAGAGCCCCCACAATAGAACGGTAGAAAGAAGGATCTGAGTAGTAGTTGAATCCATATTTAGAAAGTTTGCAGCCAGATTGAAGTGGAGTGGAAATTCCTTTTGCCTCTGCCATTTGAGCCCTATTGAGTAAATCTTTTATATATTTAGACTGAGTAAGACTCAATGCTCCAGAAGATGCTCTCTGAACTTCAATGCCAAGAAAGAAATCAAGTTTCCCAAGATCTTTAAGAGCAAACTCAGAATGAAGTTGTTGAATTAGAGACTGAATAAAAGTTGAATCACTGCCAGTGATGATTATATCATCAACATAAACCAAGAGAAAAACACATTGAGCTGACTTCCTGTAGATAAACAGTGAGGGATCACATTTACTAGCAATAAATCCAAGATGCAGTAGAGCTGTACACCTTTATCTACTCTAATACTATCAATATCATGTAATTATTATAACCTGCTAAAATTTACAATCCCGCTAAAATTTACAATGTAATTTACAATCCTGCTAAAATTTCTTTGGTTTATCAATTGTGAAAAACATTGACAACCTTCTATTCTTTTTGTTATTTCATGGAGTTTAATTATATATATACCTGACACCCATTAAAATCAGTTCTTTTTTATTTAGACAACAAAAATATTATAATCATGCATTACCCATATGTTTACATGCTTATTATCATCGATCTTTTTTCCCCTGAAAGTGGATTTGTGATATGTCTCTGACTTGCCATTTTGTGTGCTTGGTCCCTTTACCGATGGAAGTGATAAGAAGAGCACCTCACGAGTTCAAGATTGCTTGTTTAGAGGTGACTTTCTGAACTCAAAAAATCATGTCACTGAATATAAACTCGGATATGCTATTAGAAGGCATCTTCTTAGCAGCAATATTTTTTTGCAGGATATCAAGAGACTTTTCCCTTCTGATTATAATCCATTCTATGCTGGATTTGGCAATAGAGACACAGATGAACTTAGTTATAGGAAGATTGGAATCCCGAAGGGCAAAATATTCATTATTAATCCTAAGGTGTGCATCCTGGATTAATATTTCTTAACAGTTAGTATTTTCTTTAGTTCTTCCTTGAGACCAACTAAATGACTACGAAAACTAACAGGGTGAGGTGGCTATTAGTCAACGTATTGTTGGTGCAAAGTCATATACATCATTACATACCCTCGTTAATGACATGTTTCCACCTACTTCTTTGGTAGAGCAGGTGACAAATCATTTCCAAACCCCCCCATTTGAATGGCAATTTTGAAACTTTATTAAACCAACAATTTTGACTTTTAATTTCTGAACATTGCAGGAGGATTTCAACTCATGGAATTTTTGGAAAATGCCATTGCCAGATGTTTAGTTCCCTTTGACAAGAATTCCCTGGTATTGAACCATCCGAGATGTTAACCAAAAAGCCAGACATTCCTTCTATAATTGATTGGAGAGTATCCTTCTATACTGTAATTCATTGATGGGCATGTAAGTTTTCAAAGAACATTATTTTCATTGTGATGGCCATGCCCTTGCTCTCCTTCTTTTTTGATCTTCATTAAATCTTGGTTTATTACAATCCACCCCATCAACAGAATTGTATAACATTTGGCTTACATGTTAAATTGTACTACGCTTAACTACTAAAAAATAAATAAATTGTCTTACACCTTGGTGTATTTTTCATTGGGAATGGCACAAATGTTCAAGAAAGCAAATGACTTTTTCTCTAGTTCTAGTTTTAGGTTGGGTGGATGCGGTGATATGCAACTTCTTCAAGGGAATAGGGATGTCACTTAGTGGGTGCAGGTGATGTTCGTGTCAGATCGAGGCCTGACACGAATATAAATACACTTGACATGGATACGATGTAGAGAAAGATTTGTGTCAAAATCTTGACATGAACATAATTTATATTTATTTTGTGGGTTGATATGATTAAAATAATTAGTCAATACTAAAATGTCTCGTTTATTATATGGGTTGGTAATGACAACATGAATAACCTCATTTCATAAATATTGTTTTGACATGATATCACACAAGAAGAATAATTTGAAGAAGATTCATGCCGGTCTTTGTTGTGTTCGTGGGCTAATATAAATATAATATCTTTTTTCAGGATTTAAATCAATTAATCAAATTATAGTGATTAATAATTTCTAAAACGATATTTTGTCATTTGATGAATTAACTGAATATGTTTGGTGTTATTATTATACCTCTTTCAAGAAGTTTTTTACAAACCAAAAAAAATAGTGTCATCCATTCAGTTAGGGGTGTCAAAACGGGTTGACACGAATACATCAACACTAACACGACACAAATACATCAACGCTAACACGACACGAATACATCAAAAATAGTGTCATCTTTTTTTTTTTTTTTTTTTTTGTCAAATTGTAATATAGCAAAGTAATACGCAAAATTATTCTCGTTAATCGTTACTAAGTCCGCCAATTTATTTATTTATTTTCTGGATAGGTAAATCGTTGTTATTTCCTGAAATTTCACGAATCAATTAATAATTTAATACTCATCCGACCACACCTTAGCTGGACTAAGAATGATAATTATATCCATCAAATATAAAAATAAAAATGATAATTATTAAATAAATAATAAGAAACAATAATTCTAGTACTGATATAAAGGAGGTAATAATAAAGATATATTATTGAATAAACCCCACTTAAACTTTTATATACAAAAAAAATGGAAATAATAAAGATATATTATTTTTTAAAATATAAAATATAAGTATTGAAATTTAATGATGGATTTAAAGAAACATGAAGCGAAACGGAAGGCAGAGGAATCGAACTTAATGACACCAAAAACAATGAATGTTTGAGTTCAGCATGTCGCGGATGCGCTTGACTTCTTCTTCCTTTCGCCATTTTTCTCCCTCACCTCTCTCTCTCTCTCTCTCTCTCTCTCTCTCTCTCTCTCTCTCTTCTTCACAAGCTCCTAATCTCCATTGCATTCCCAGCTACCATTATATCTCACACTTATCAGAATCAACAACCACCCACCTTCACCTTCATCTATTCCCTGTCATTTTCATTCTTTTCTTTTCACCTTTATAACAAAGATAGATACACACTTTCTTTTTCCTTAACCACATTTGCACATATATACACATAGAAAGAGAATCAGAGGAAGAGTATATATATATATAAAGGAAAATTAAAAACGGTGGTGAAGAGTGAAGACTGAATAAGAATGTCGTGGGTAAGATCGGCGGTGATCAAAGCGGTGGAAGCAGGTGGCCAACACAATCTCAGCCGCGCCGTTCGCAACTACGCCGACTCCGTCGTCCTCCATGCAAGCAACGCCGTCGCCGGCGGCGCCAAAATCATCCAGGACCGCATTGTAACTAAATTCTCCAACTCTCCACCGTACCCCTTTTTCTAAAAAATTTCATTTTTCCTTTTGCTTTTTCGTTTTTAATTCTGGGTTTGGGAGAAAGTTTTTACCTTGGCAATGGTACCTTGCAGTACAAGAAATCTCTAGATTCCTCTCTTTCTCGAATCTAGTGTCTGAATGGTTTTATTAAACAGGTATCTCGTAATATGCAAAGTTTTAGGCATACTGTAAAACGGTTAGAAGAAGTTTCTGTTTCGTGTAGAGGGATAGAGAGGGTTCAGTTGCTAAGAAGGTGGCTGGTTGCGCTGAAAGAAGTTGAGAGACTAGCTGCTACTTGCACTGACCCCAATGCTAATGATCCAGATAACCAGTTTCTTTCTGATGAGTTCAAGGATTCACCTGCAAAACCCACTTTGGTTTGTGAAACCTATTTGTTTTTTTTTTATTTCTGCTTATGTTATTTTATTTTATTTTCCCCTCTCCACTTGCAAGTTTTGGTGCATCGCAGCGGTAAGATCGCTTCTCGTGACCGGAAGGTTACGGGTTTTAAATCTGGAAAATAGTCTCTTTGCAAAAATTGCAAGGGTAATGCTGCCTACAATTGACTCTCATCCCCACCTTTGCAAGTCCGGGAGCCATATGCATCGGGTTTACCGTTTTTATTTTCCCCTCTCCAGTAATGGCCTCACTATGTTAAGCTAGCTCACTTCTTTGAGTAGTTGTTCATTCTTGTAGTATGTGACCATGGACAGGTTTACTATGTAGACCCTGGCATGATGGGTGAACCAAAAAATTTTCGTGATGTGTTTCTTCACAGTCAAGCTCTTGAGGGCATAACATTTTCAATGGTGAGTTTAAGCAATGCTATCTTTAACTGCCACAGTGCCAAACTTTTGGATCAGTATATTAAATGAGTACAATGCCCAATTGCCTCATTTAGTTTCTCTAGAGGATTTCCATGTTACAATGGGTTAGGTTTGACAGTTTTTGGTTGTAACTTGTATGAATTTGCTATCAAATTAAGAGTCAGCTTGTACTTCCCATATGGAAATGAAAATTTAAATTACATAATTTTAATTAAATTCTATAGAAGGGGTGATTCCTAATATATCGTTTTCTTTAAACTGCTAGTTATTTATTCTGGAGAAAATAGTTCTTGTTCTGGTACTTGTTTGAATCATGGGTATAGTTAGCTGATAATGGTATGTATAAAAATTAGAACATGAATGTATAAAAATAACAAGGATCCTACATTTATTTGTCTTTTTAATACAAACTCAATGTGTTGTGACTTGAGGAACAATTCTTAAGAATTTGTCTACTTTCAGTGATATTCTATTTACAGTGGCTTAGCTTTATATTTGCTGATTTATGAAACTTAACCGCAGGTTATCTCTTTTGTGTGACTCAGATTCTTGACGCACCAAATGAGGAAGAAGTTTCACTACTTTCAGAGATATATGGGTAATTTTCTCTTTCTGTTTTTAGCTTTTCTTTTCTTAAACTGATGTATCCGCAGCCAAATATTGGTTCAAAATAGTTACTGGTTAAAAAACTGCTTCTGGTTTGGTATGGTTGTACAGGCTCTGTATTCAAGGAGGAAAGGAAGAACATATGGCCGTGTTATCCAGCGTGCAGGATTTGGCAAAAGCATTTTCTGGATATGAAGATGAAGTACTGGTAAAGATGTTAATATTTTCTTATAGATTTATTTGTTTGTGGTTAATATAAACTCACGTACAATATTATGACTTGTGTGGAGCATATGTGAATACCCATTATCATTGATACATCAGACCAAACGACTGTAGTAATACTTTGCTTGGGAGTTCATGATATCAGTAGGTTGATGTGAAGCTCAGAATCACAGAGATGCTTTGATTTTATATGCTAAGAAACTTGGGGTCTAATGGCATCCTCATTTAAGAACAAAGGTTGAGGGCTTACAAAGCTCTAAATCAACACCGATAGAGTATATAAGTTATACATCTTAACTAGTGATGAAACATACAAGTGGCTGAGAGGGGGCAGCTCCCCCCCCCCCCCCCCCCCCCCCCCCCCCCCCCCCCTCTTTCTCCCCAAATTTATTTTCCCCTTTAACAACCAAAATTTTCTTTAATAAATCATATTTAAAGAATTTAGTTAACACTTTAACTCTTTTTAGTATGCCAAATTAAAAAAAAATTAGTGACATTTTCGCCCCTGCGTTGTTTTTGGTCAATTTCTGCCACTGACCTTGATTTTGCCATAACATGCAAACTGAATACTGTAATTTTATGAATTCATAAAGGTAACTGGTGTGATTTATTAAATGTTAATTAAATTTTATTATTCTGATAAAACTGGATCAGATAACAAGGAAATAAAAGAACTCAAGCAGCTTTTTGGCCCAGATAAATATCTGAATTTTCTGTATATTGAAGAAACAAAAGGTTGCAGTAATGGAAATTTGCAGAAAAATAACTACTACACAGCAGTGCTGTTTACAGAATGAAAGTTCTAATGGCAAAAGCTAAAGATCAGCAGATTAGAGAGATGCTGAGCTCTCCAAGTTCAAGTTCCAATTCCAATTCCGAGCTAACTCCCTTTCGCATGCTCAACTCAACACATAACCAACCTTTCTAACCAACTTAGCCAGCTCAGCACCTACATAACAGAATTGAACACACTTAATTACGTGTGCTATCATCTAGAATATTCTCATGGTTAATTTTTCTCCTGTGATGCCTCCTACCATACACCTTCATGTGTCGTATCATATTCCTATCTGGATTTCGTTCTAACTTCTCATCAATTTTGTTGTTTGAAGTGGTCTTTTGGCTTATCTTGATTTGTTGCTTGCAATATACGCTCTAACAACAACATCTGACTTTGTAAAAGTATTGAACTTTTACACATTTTACAAGAAGCTACTTGAGTTATATACACTTATTTGGTACCTAAGTATCTTTCCCTTTCCTCCTTATTTTTTTAACAGGCCAAGCGAGAGGAATTACTTCAATATGTCCAAGCTGCAATTTCAGGGCTGAAAGTAAATGCTGATCTCATGAGGTTGTCTGTTGTTGAAAAACATATCTTTATTGGTGCTTTGACCTTTGAGATTTTCTTTTGATTATCAGCCGATATCTTATTTGATGCATGCTTGGATTATGCCGTGCCAGAATTTCCATGGTTCACTCTTGCATGCGTGGTCATGGAATGTGTTTTTCATAGCTTAATTGATTGTTCATGCTTGATAACTTGGAGCATCACTTATTTTTAACACACTGCTAATATAGTTTACTGCGATGCATTTGGTTTTGATGGGTCATAGATACACTATATAATTAGTGAAAAATAACACATATAAGGCTTCTCAGTTATTTATTTACATATTACTTGGTATTTATTTTCCTTTTCTTGATGTGCATACACGAGTTACTAGTGCTCCTTGAAGATATTATGGTATTCAATGTTGAAATCGAGCATTTACAGAAGTTTGAATTGTATATTAAATTATTGGATTCTAAAACTTTCAACCAGTGCATGATGTATACTGAACTATTATGTTAAAAGATTTTCCCCACTTCAATTGATACTGCATTTATTAAATCTTCTTGGGCTATAATCCATCAAACCATTGTCAAGACTCGAGCAAATGTATTATTCTTTTCTCCTCTTGTATGTGATGCATCTCCTCTCTCAGAATAGAAGATGAGGCCTCCAATCTGATAGAAAAAATTGAGAAGATGAAGGAAATGGATGCAGATCATTTTGTAAATTCACCTAAAAAGACCAATGCTGTGGCAATAGAGGTGAGCTTGCATTTCTTATATTCTGATGCATGTGGAACAGCTACTTGCCTATTCACATGCCCACTTCCACATGGACACTCATATAGTCCTCTTGTGAGGGTAGGGGTGAGTGCAATCTTTGTATACAGCCTTATCCTTTTATATTTGCAAAGATGTTGTTTTCCATATTTGAACCCTTGACCTTTCAGTCATAAAGGAGCTGCATTACCACCGCTCTGGGCTCGCCCTCTTTTGTTGCAATAATTATAATTTACTGGATCTTGAGTATTGATTGAAATATTCAATGCTAAAAAGTACAAGTGACATATTACGGAATGAAATTGAAGTATTTAACGTAATAATGATATCATTCGTGCTATTTTCTTACTAGCTCATTATAAATGTTTGCTTCTGCTTTTTGGCTCATGTTATAACAAATTTAAGGGGTAAACAGTTATGTTAAAAGTATTAGTTTCGTAGGTTCTAATGTTCCTGAGTTGCTGTCTGCTAGCAGGCATGTTTGATTTTTTATTACAAGATTGATGTTCCTTTCCAGTGATGCCTTAAATCTTAATGACAAGCTGGCTAACTGCCTTTGTTTTTGGGATTAATGCCTTACATGTTCTATTACTATAGACGAGCTTCTTATATGGCTTATGAGGATTGTTTTAGGCACTTATTCATGGATTTAAGATCATGGATTAATATGTAAATTTATACTGTGGTGAAAAATGAGCATTTTGGTTTAAATTCAGGGTCATGATGAAGCTGTGTTAGAAATTCAAATGTTTTCAAAGTTGGTGGAACTCTTATTGAAAAGGAAATCCTTTAGCTACGGTGATTCTCCACAACTTCATGCTGAAAAGGTCTTGTCCAGTGATTTTCTGTATTATTTATTGTTCATCTCTTTTACTCCTGAAATCTTACCTCCGTGAGTTTTTTTTTCTTCCAAGCTTCACTGAAAAGAGCGTATAAAGCATTCAAAACTGATAATGCATCATGTGAAATTGTCTATGCTCCATTACGTGAATTATGGAATGCTAACACGAAAATTTAATTTTTATCAATTCTTTACTATAAGCTTTTAGGGGAAGGTTATACTTACAACCTATTTTTGTTTACAACCATATCTTAACCGTTGATTTCCGTCAATCAACGGTTATCATTCATTGTAAATTAAATATTAATTAATGAGTTTGATTTGTGAAAATAATAACGTTGATTGACAAGTAACACTTATCTCGCATATTACTAAGCATTGTAAAGCACTCAATGCATATATTTAGTTTTTAAAGAATTTATTGTCAATGTTTTTTATTTGCTATTTTGAAAGTAATGTCTATATTTACATATGTTCTATGTAATCTATAAAATGTTAAATATGATTGTTAACATGGTTGACAAAGATCAACGGTTAAGATATGGTTGTAAAAGGTTGTAAACAAAAATAGGATGTAAGTATAACCTTCCCCAAGCTTTTATAGTTCTAAAATCCGAATAGATTTTGTTTTCTGTATTGTATTATTAATACTCAACGGCTTCTGCAAGCAGGCATAATTTTTTTATTCACAGTGCAATGATGCTTAGTTTCCTGCATTTGGAGTTACACATTTTTTGTGGTTGATGATGTGTGATTGATTGACTTGCAGGTTGATAAATTGAAAGTTTTATCAGAGTCTCTTGCAAATTCTACCTCAAAAGCTCAGAGTCGCATTTTGGAAAACAGGTGCCAGAAATAGTTATTATGAGTTCCTTATAAATAAAAAGAAAGAAGAAGAAAACAGTTTATTTCTTGTATATGTTGTGCTTGCACAAGCACTTGTGCCTTCATTGAGTATCGTGCAAAGGTACTGAACGTACTTCTTATAACAGCTCTTTGTATCAAGATATATATAAATTTTGTAACAGTGTAACGTGTTGATAGTATACTTGATGCATCTCAATTCTCATCTGCTTTTTGGCTAGTTGAAAGTTGGCGCAGAAAAGAAATGTTGACCCTTCACTGAATTTTTAAGTTTTTTTTCTTAAATTCTGTTGCATATTGTCACGCAACCAACTCTCCTTAAGCTGTTGAGCAAAGATACATGAATGATTTATTATATCTCTTAACACATTTTTGTTCTCAACCAGATCTCAAAAAGAAGAAGCACTTCTTTTTCGGGTAACTAAGACCAATGAGGTTGGCCAAATTGAGAAGGTACATTCTCCTCAAAAGCAGCAGATTGTTTTATCTTATTGTAGATGTAGTGAAGACTGAAAACTTTCACTGAAGGAACTTTCCTCAACCAACAGGTCAAGTCACAAGCTCAAGTATTGAGTCCTCTAGATAGTTTTCTTCTTTTACGAGGGTAACTGATAAGACCAAAGAGTGCTGACAAAAAAGTCTTGGATTCTATTCCTATTGGTAATCCTTCATTGGTAGGTCATACATATGTAAATATCATTATAAATCCTCCCTGAGGCTTGTAGCATGCCCTTATCTTGGAATGGGGCAACTTCTTCCCCTCCTAAACCTTTATCAATAAAAAAATATATATATATTCTTTTCTTGGGAAGGGGAGGGGTGGTTGGGGTGGTTAGACCTCACATCTTTGGTTTCTTCATCTCTTCATCAGATGTTGAAAATAAGCAATGCCTTGGTTTTTAGAGGTGAAGGAAAGAACAAGGATTTATGATAGATAGGACTACATTATGTACAAGGACTCGAGTATTACACCTTGGGTCTAATTCTATAATTTTCATATTGATCAAATGAAACTCACTCAAATTTCTTGCAAGATTGGAATCTATACAGATTTTCATTATGCATTATTGTTTGTATAAAACTTGCTCAGCACATATTTTCTATTTCCGGAATAATTTTATTTCATAATATCTGAAATATACATAAAAAATAAGTCATGCAAGAATCTATCTTCTCACAACATTGTTATTCTACGTAAAATAGTTGTTCAATCAATTTAGAGTTTTTCCATTTTCTGACAATTTTTAGTCGTATATAAAAGAAATGAATTAATGTCTATTTTGAAGGAACCGATTTACAGAATACTTGTTTTTGAAATAGATATACAATGGCTGGAGTGCATTTTGCAGGAATTGGCAGTGGAAATTGAAGAACTTCAGAAGCAGAAAGATGAGCTTGAAGACAGACTGAAAAAGGTTTTCTTTTACCTCCTCTTGAATTCTTGGATTATGATGGAGTTCAGGAGTTACATCCTTTGTTTTGTTGCATGTACATTGATAACTATATCAAGTTTACTGTATGTGCACACACCGATGTGCATTTGCTTAATCAGCTATTATGCCCTCCTATTCTCAGTCTGCAATATGATCTTCACGGATCTGTCTGTTACCCTTTGCTGGCATTACATAAGCCTGAGATATTATTGTAGGTCAACACCTTGCTGGTGGCTGCTCGTCTACGCCTCCACAATGCAAAAGAAGAAAGAGAGCAGTTTGATGAAGCAAGCAATGAAATTATTGTACATTTAAAAACAAAGGTACAGAAGTTTATTTCATTCCTTAGGGTCGCATCTACATAAAAATAAATAAATTAAGATCTTGTTTCAAAGGCTATAGGAAAATTAATGATGTGATGTAAACCATTTTATTGTTTGTCATAATCTGTTGTAAAGTTTTTCTGACATTAGGATGATGAGATGGTGCGAGCCATTACTTCTTATACAATGGAAGCCAGTGTTGTTGATACGTGGATCCATTTTCTAGAGAGCACATGGGTTCTTCAAACCTCACATACAAAGAAAAAGGAGGAGCAGGTCAAGTATGTCCTGTAGTTTAATACCAACGGGCAATCAAATATGATAAAATAGCTATTGAAATTATACATTTTTTGAAGTTGTTATGCAAATCAATATCTGGCATGATAGTCCCTCTTATGTGCATGTATATTCTCATTTATTAATTTTCATGTTATCTAATGGTTTTTTCTTATTATATATAAAAGTGCTGAACTGGGGAGATATGGAGATCATTTTGTGAATTTGGTTATTCATCTTCTGTCTTCTTACAAGGTAATAAATCATCCTAGCTTGATATCTTTCTTCATTGTTTTATTAACTTGTCTACTGCTTTTTCCTTATATTCTCTTCATCGTCTTACTTATATGTTAGGAAAAATTGGGTTCATCTGTTACTCAAATAAGAAAACTTGTGGAGAATTTAAGTTCAAGTCAAGGGTATGGCCGTTCTGCCTCTCTGAATTCTCTATTGTGTCAAAACCATGCCTCCAACTGTTCATTTATATCAGGTTAGAAATATCAGCAGCTGTAGATGATCATGATGGTTCGAAAGTAGTGAATCCAAGGAAAAAGCTTGAAGAAGAATATTTGGATATTGAATCCAAGGTATTTTTCTTTTTGATGTTTTATTGATCTCATTATGTGAAATGAAAACCAGTCAGGGAGTACTATTGTGCAAGATTTTGAGGTCTTAACAGTCGCTTATTTCTTTTTCTACTTGTCAGTTTTTAACCACACTGAATATAGTGGACACCTTGAACAAGCAGTTTCACAATCAAAAGGAAGGCATTTTCAGGTATGTTATTTCTTGCTCTCTTTCTTCCCCTGCCCCTCTGTCCTTCTTTATTTTTCTCATGTCAATATATTGATAGATAAGTGTTACTACACGATACATTAACAATTTTGATACAGAAAAGACATGGACAAGGTCACAGAACTATTAGATGCCATCAAGAAAACAAAAGATGAATTTGAATCTATTGAGAGGCCAAAGTTGGATATTGAGAATCCACCTCAAAGTTCAGAAACACCATCAAGAAGTCCTTCACCTACCTCCAGGGCTAATAAGCACAAGCAAGATAGAGTGATCAACCCTCCCTTAATTACTGGGAAAGCTAAATCAGTAGCAGCAGAATCATCAAAAATAGAAGCAGAACTTGATAAATTAAGCGATGATGACTCAGCGGAAGAGATAAGTGAATGGGAGTTTGATGCTCTTGATAAAGATCATCATCACACCAGGAGTTGAACACGAACAAAATAGACTAGAATTACTGGTGGTTATAAAAAGAGTTGAACTAAGTTATCTTGGGAGTTTCACTTAACCTATGTACATGAAACAGCTTTGGTCCACTGAAAGTTGTATTTGTACCATATTCAATCATTGATGAAGTGTAGATATTACACCATCTAACTTTCATGGATAGGTCTTGTTTGTGTAATAATTTTGTCAGTGAGAAAATTCTTTTATTATTAGTTAGAAAATGATGACATAATTGACTCAAGAAAGAGCTGTTTTGTACCTAGTCCTGTAGGGTTTTGAGGATTAGCTCTATTTTCACACGTTAATGAATTACCTGTATTGTATTACTCAGTTCGCTAGGTCATCCAAGTGAGAAAATTTAACTTAATTTCCTTGGTAATATTTTGACGTATCAAACAACCTTTTTTAAACTTTCCTACCAAAATCACTTTTCCACCATATTTCTACTAATTCTATTTTCCTGGTAAATTTTTTTTCTCTCCTAAACCAAACACCCCTAAATGGCACGTTGAGGTCCTAAAATTACTATAGTAGGAGGTCAAATACCTTATTATTTTTAATTTTACATAATATATTAAATAATAAATTAACATGCTAATAAATTAATATAACAACAACATATGCAAACTCAATAATATACATAACATTCATAAGTTTTATATTATTAAAAATGATACTTAAAAACAAGTTGAAACATGACATGATATTTAAAATGACATTGTTTAGTCCTTAAAAAAAAAAAAAAACGTTGTATGAATTTTTTTTTTTTTAAAAGAAAAATTGCAGGTTTGACTAGTTATCCACTAATTTTAGACTGGTTTAACCAATTTTCTATTGTTAATTTTTTTTCTGATTTAGTCTTATGCGTGAGATAGACCAATACCTAACTGAATTTTCTATTAAACCAACCATTCAGGTTTGAATTTTGCATCTATGATTATTGATTTAAAGCATAGGGAACATACCATGTACACTAGTATTAGAATTTCTGTCCTTTTTTCTCCCCCTTTATTTTACAGCAGAAGTAACTTGTGGGGGTACTATTTTAAACATACCCCAAAACTTTCTAGTTTTGGTGCACAAGGACCACCAAAACTAGGTGGTACTTTTACCAAACCCTCCCCCTATATTCTTATTAGGATTTAACATTAGATTCTAATTTAAAAAGAAAAAAATAGGATCCGTCTACAAATTCTATAATATATATATGTGGCAGATAAATTTTGCTGCCACAACTGTAAACAAAATGGAACCCTATTTTTTTCTTTAAATCTTAAAAAATTTCTCTTTTGAATAAAAGAACCACTGAATTTTCGTGGTTCTAGTGCACCAAAACTTTTCTCCCCCAAAATGTTAAACTTCCATGCATATTCTTTTCTTTTCTTTTTTGGAGATATTCATCGCTTCACTACTAGTTCGATTCGAGGTGGTCCCGGGATTAAGACTTTAAATCTCTTTCAAAGACAGTACTGAAAAGGATCGAACACATACTTTCATCCCTATTTGTTCAATTAGTTTCGTGACGACAACTTAACTGCAATCATTTGATACTTCTATGCTTATTCTGGTTATCATGAAACCCAATTATGAAATGTAAAAACCTTTTGAAGGTAAAAGGAAAAAGATAAGGTAGATACCATTTGGCCTCACCTGGAAGGGTGGAAGATAGGAAGAGCCTTTATCTCTGCAATGACACTCTCCACTCAATCCGGGTGCTGCCATTCCTGTTATGTGACCCATTACTTCTCTCACAATAAGCCAATGACCTCTAAAACGCTGTACTTGAAAAAGGATCATGTGACTTAGTTTGATGAGCAACACGTGATGTGGCACTGACATTTTTCTACTACTTTAGAGATGACTAAAGAAAAAAAAGACTCTGTATCAAGCAGGCTTTTCTTTTCCTTTCCCTTCCCTTAAATTTGCCTTAAATTGCACTTGTTGTTTTGCCTTTTTGGTAGTAGGAAGTTGGTGTTTTACATTTACATCATGTTAAAACTTTAAACTCTCATTTTAAGTTGAGAAATTCTTGCATGGGGTGGAAGAAGTTTTCCACCACCACCACATTAGTAACAATTATGTGATCTCATGAAATTTTATTTTATTTTTTGTGGGTCATGTTTATAGAACCCATCATATCATATGATTTTTCCAGAATTATATATAAAAAAAAATACAGCTTAGACTCATTATGTATTGAGCTCATTTACCAAATGAGAAACTTTATTCGGCAACCGTTATATATAAGAGGGATATTCACCATTATATGGAAGTACAAAGTCATCTTAACACTCTTAAATCTGAATGGAACAAGACTCTTTCTTTATGAGAGTTTTAGTTAAAACTCAACTTGGGTAGGGGAATCTGCTGGAGAATGAGAACTTTACAAAGGGAAACAAAAATAACTGCCCTCGAGCTTTGTTAGTTGTCCTTTATTTTTCAATCTCGAAACCAACGCTAACCACTTTTGGTTTTGGAGATAATTTACCATTACGTAGGTCCTATGGCCTATAGGTAACACATTCACCACTTCCCAGTGTCTTAATTTTTGTACTTGTTTATGAGGTAAAACCTCAAGTTTGAATACCCAAATCAGTAATAAGTTAATAACACAGGCAAAGAGCCAAAGATGAATGGCTAAAAAAACTGTTACATTTTGACCTGGTCAAATGGACACATTCTAACCATAACCATGAATGATTGCCCATTGGTCGATTGAGATAGAGAGACGGGGCCTTCAAAAGTATGAATTATGTAGAATTGGTTAGTTATAGATTAGGCACAAAAGGAAAAAGAAAAAAATAAAATTCCCTTCACAAATTTCTTGCTCCTTTAGTATTTCTGATGTCCGGACCCACCACTACGAATGTGCAAAATGCAAAACATGTCTTCCTAGAAAATAAATGATGCCTATTGTTTTTTTCTTTTTTTAGTAACCTCATCCAGTTCTTTCTTTGATCTAGTCCGATTCGAGTATTGTCGGACTTAAAGCGGGATGACTTTTTCAAGATGATTTTTTTTATTCTTAGAGTGCGAACTCGAGACCTCTAATTAAGGAACACAAATTCCTTACCACTTGTGCCAGCTGTGTTTGGTAATGATGTTTATTGTTAAATATAAGCCCTTGTGTTCATGAACATAAGAAAAAATAAAAATAAAAAACCATGTTTCGTTTACCTTTATTATATTTAACTAACTCAATGAGTGTAGCTCACTTGGCTATATGGGCTGATTAGGTGAGGAGGGAACGTTAATTCAATTTTCACCAAATATATTTTTGGAGAGGGACGAGAAGTTTTAATTATGACTAAGCTCCGACTTGATATTAGTCATATAACCAACTCAAAGAGTTGAAGCTTGTGGAGATATTCAGGAGCTGACTCGTCTCAAAGAGGTAATTATAGTTGGTATAAATAAGACATGTGTTAATGAACATAAGAAAAAATAAAAATTGAGTGTAGCTCAGTTGGTTACACATGCTGGGTATGTAGGGAGAATCTAAATTCAATTTCCACCAATACATTTTTGGAAAGAGGCGAAGAGTTTTAATCGTGACTAATCCCTGACTTGAAATTAATCATATAGTCAAATTCAAAGAGTTGAAACTTATGAGAATACCAGAAGAAATTCACCTAAAAGAGGTAATTAGGGTTGGTATAAAAAAAAATTTACTTCAAAGTTCAATCTTTATTTACGTGTATCATGCTCTATAGTGTACAATTATATGAGTTACAGTCTCTCATATATAATGCATGCTAGTACCTTAATCATATATAGAAGATAAGATATGTAGACTAGACAGAGGTTGTAGATTCATTTCATTGAGACCTCCCAAGTAGATGTATCATGTACCTGCTTCTGCACTTGGTTCAATCTGGCATATAAATCATTGTGTTCATACTTTGTCATGGAACGAGTTGGAAGGTTGAGTGTGTTACATTGAAACTCTACATAAAAACAATGTTAGTGTCAACATCTTCCTTTGAGTTGCATATTCTTAACATGTACTTTGACGTATCAAATTCAAATGGAACATGACAACAGAAGAATGAAAGTATTCATCGAACACATGGTTTTGTACCAATTATGTTAACCACTAATTACGGATGATACATTGTAGGGACTAAGTTTTAATCTCATGTGATGCTTAATCAGTTCCACTTTGAAGACCAACTTAAAATACTCATTAAAGTGAAATTAAAATCTATCATGGGAAAGGTAAGAATTACAGCGTGGATTGAACTTTGTAAACAAAGGGGAAATAGGAAAAAGGAGAAAAGAAAAAGAATAGTGAAAGCAACAGAGATACTTTCAAAGATCATCATTGCTCTCTTTATTGCTACTTTGACAGATATCTAGTGCGGGTAACTGCATCTATCTCTATGGTGCATTCTAGTGCCTTAGAGGTATATACCTAATGGGAAAAAAAAGAAAGAAAAAATAATAAAAAAATTGACCTAAGACTACACTAGAGTCACAGACTAACATTATCTTTGCATGTCACAGGACCACAAATTTGAAACCCATCTAAATTTTTTTAATGTTTCGGATTATTCACACTTGTGCATGTTCTGGGGGCTAATAATTTTTGTTTTTTAAACAAATAGATACACAAAAAATGAGGAATAAATAAATTAGTAAGGAAGTGACTGCTTAGTAGGATGAAAAAAAATTCAACAATAAAATAATATCTTCATTTCATGCTTGGGAAGCGCCAAACATACTTTAAAAAAGAATGCTTTTATATTTAACTAAGGGGTAATTCAAATGGTAGAAGAGGAGTGATGTGAAGACAGAGGTGATAAGATTAATATTTTCATATAAAAAATTTGTGTTGCATTACAAAGTTTGGCAACATCATCACTTTAAAGAATACCCTGTCCTCTTTCCTTGACTAAGGAGCTCAATTTCCCATAGGCATCTCCATACTCCAACAAACACAAATAGTGAAGCCAACATCACAGTTGAGAGAGTCACATGAAATGGCAACAAAAAAAGCTACTTTGGTTCATGTAGATGAAGACTACATTGACATGGAACTAAGTTCTTCCTCTAACTTGTTCCCTTATTCCATTGGCTCTCCACCACAGAATAGAGAGTTTGAATTTCAAATGACTTCTGAATCAAATGAGAAAGAGTCCACAACTTCCCCAGCTGATGATCTCTTCTACAAAGGAAAACTCCTTCCTCTTCACCTCCCTCCTCGCATGAAAATGGTTCAAAAGCTTCTAGAAAACTCCAATGCCACCTTTGAGTATTTGAAATCAGAGTCATCTTTGGAAGATAGTGACTTTCCCTTCACCACTGACCTTAGAATGCCTTCTACAAATGCCAGAACCCCTCTTGAACACTGCAAAATCTGTCCTTCAGAATCATGCCGGGTTAGCAGTGATGTAAACCCAGATGAATACCTATTAGAATGGTCTTCTGATGTGAATGGTTTGGTTGGTGATCTTCCCAAGAAGTCTTGGCCCAAGAAACTGAAACAAATGAAGCAGTTTTGGCTTGGCCAAAGACTCAAGGCTTCAAGAGCTTATCTAAAAGCTTTGTTCAGCAAATCTGGTTGTTCAGACAAGTCTTGTGCCAGTGCTGCAAACAATGTGGGAACAGAGAAGAAATCAAAATGCAAAGACTGTCAGAATAAGTACGTGAAGGTTGCAAAGAAGAACCCTTTTGAGATTTTTTATGATAATAAGCATCAAATATCTTGTGCTGTCATGAAGACCCTTAAAAGAGAGATGATTGTAGATGATTTCTGTAACCACAGAAGGGCTTTCTCTGGGGTGGTTCAACGACATTGTGCTACTAAGGCTTCATCTTTGTCCACATCTTCATCTGGGTCATCTTCTTCATCTTTATCTTTCTCATTCAGCTCAGCTGGGTATTATGATTTGCAATTGTTCAAGAGGAGCATCAGTGCAAATTCTGAGCTTGAAAGTTCAGTAGAGGGAGCCATTGCCCATTGCAAACAGTCTCATTAGCAGCATAGTTCAAAGAATAGTTCATATGATAGCAGGATTTGTTCTCAATTTGCTACAAAAGTTGCAGTTTGTGGAAATGAAGAAACGGCAACACTTGCCAGCACTAGAGGGTGAGTGAGAGAGTGGAGAAAACCCTGTAATCTTGCTATTGCATTTTCATTTGAAATGCTATTGCATTTTCATGGAGTTTGGTGTTTGAATTAACAGCTTGGGTTTTCCAGCATTATTTTGTTCAAAATTGATAATCTTGCTCTCTCTTTTTTTCCTTTCTATATCTCTCATATTCTTTTACATGTTTCATACTTTCCAAAGGTGTAAAATTGAATCCCTTATCACTTAGCAGTACCATTATTATCATTAGCTCAGAGGAGTAATTCGTTTGGGCAAAAGTGACTTTATAATTTTTTAAAAGATGCACACTTATGATACTCCATAACATAGTTGCTATGATAGGAAACCTTACACTTGTCTTCTTATTTTTTGAAATAGGTCCAAACCCCTTGATTAACCCCTCTGTGCTATCATCAATTTTGTGGATTTGGGCCATCAACACACAAACAAAACCATCACTCACAAACCCACTTATGTGCATTTAATGACCATAAATTTTCTGTTTTAATTCACTGTAAAAAGTTAGTCTTTATGCCAAATCCCATGTTCTGAAACTGACCCTTTTTCCCGGGGCAGATCCTCAGTGACTGCAAGACTTTATCTGCCATTATTCTTTCAGTGTTCAACAGATAACAGATAGACTCAAGTACTGTGTAAAAGTAATGAACACCATATTTTATCTTCTCACCCTTTCTTTCTGTGTAATTTTTTAGTTCCATTATTTGCAAAGAAGAAAAAGTAGAAAGTCATTTGGAATAACCTCCATAACAATATAATAAAATAAAAAAATGAGATGTCAAAGAAAGCTGACCAAAAAGGATTAAAAATAGTCATTCACCTTTGTAGAGAAAGATAAGCTCAGAGAGAGTATCTCATATTCAAGATGTGGAAATCATGGTACATTTGGTGTACCTGAAAGCTTTTCTTTGGCCACTATATGCTTTATTGAGAAAAGTCATGATTAGTAATAGTGAATCCCCCCACCAAAGCAGCATAGTTGACTGAAGATTAAAGCTAAACAAGTGCAATTATGTATCCTAGTTGCAATTACCGAAGTATTACAGTAACTGAAAATGATTATGATCACAAGGTATGACCAACTACAATTTTAAAAAAAGGATCGTATCACCAATAATTATTGGTTCAAGTGGTAGAAAATTTGTTCTCCTTAATCAGAGGTTTAACTTTGAAAATGGAAAAAATGGTCTTGAGAGATCCGCCCCTATAGTAGATTCAACAATACTCGATTTGGATTGGTTGGTGATAGATTAAGCGGGAGATATATAAAAAAAAGTAATAATAATTCCCCAACTTTTTCATTCTATAAAGACCCCACCCACATCTAGCCCGCGTGGTGCTTGTATTCTTAAAACTCGATCGTATGTCTGTATTCTACAAAGTGTTATAAAAACAAAACCAAGTGTACAGCTATTCAGACAGACACAATTGAACCTGTTGGCGTGCAGTTCTTCCTTTCACTTGATTTTGACTAAACATTAAACTACGAGTACATCATACATGGAATCACATGCGGAAGATTTTGGAAGTTGCAAGTATACGTGAATGTAGTGGGGGTAGGGTACCCATTAGACAAACACATAGAACAAGCACAAGGAACAAGCAATTCTTTTTTCCCCACCAATGGCTCAATTGTCCTAATTCCTAAACAATAAAGGTAACTAATTCTTTCTCATTTCTCTAATGTTGATTGATACTTTTTTACTTTGACAAATGCCAATGAATCAACTCTCCCAAAGTTTATATCCTTAGGTTAATTTAGAGTGCAGGCCTAAGAACTACTTGTATTATTAATATATCAAACAATAAAACTACTCACTATTCCTAGTTTTGATTCCTCACTATAGAAATGTCATGAAAGGTTAATGATTATTCAAGAAATGTTAGAATGAACACCTAATTTTTGTCTTCTTCTTATTTTGTTGAGAAAATAAAAGAAATAATAAAAAATAAAGAGAGAGATAAACTTTAACTTTTATCATTAAAATACCTTTAATTCTATATTTGGATTAACTTCTGTTATTTTCCGGTTAAATTATGCATGGCAACAAACCCTTAAATATATGCTGATATTGTATGCAAAAATGTAATCCTTTGCATTCTTGAGATAATTTCATAACAATGATGGGTTTTATTAATCTCTTTTTACATAAGATAGGTATCTTATGTTGTAGAAAGAAACTAGGTGGGTCCTACCATTACAAGAAAAAGAAAAAAAAAAGTGAGGTGCGGAAATCGAAGTGAGAGAAAATGAAATAAGTTACCTCATGTAAAAGGAGACTAATATTTCCCAACAATGATACATATACTTTTGATTTTAGTGATAAATGGTAGGAAAGTAAGTGTTGATAATTGGCAAGGGAACTGTCAATTAGAAAAAAGGAAGGGGCCAAAAAACAAAATCAATCTGTTGGAGGAGGCAATCCTAATTAAGCCGACGCAGCAATGCACTTGATAATGGCAAAACAAATTAGTTTATTGTATTTTAAATAAAAAATTAAGAATTTATTGCTGTTTTGAAAATAATTACGAATTTATTGCATAATGTCACGTCCTGGTTGGGCGTCACATGTCACGCCCAAACCAGGTGTCACTGCCTAGTGGGTCACGCCCAAACCAGGTGTGACATGTGACGCCCAAAACAGGCGTGATCCATGTAGCCTATAAAATCCCCAAATCTAGCTAGGGGTATGCGGTACTAGCGCACTTGTTCAGGAATTTGTGCGAGTGTACAGACACCGATAGATCTGACATGGGTGGGTGCTACTTTCTTCTCCAGATTTGGGTGTTGAATAGATTTTCACCTATTGCTCCCCCTTCCTCCTCCTCCTGGCCCTGAGTCGTGGCAACCAACAATTTTTCTTTGTACTTGCCATATAAATGAGTGCCATCAATCTGTATGACTGGTTTGGCAAAATTGAAAGCCTCGCAACACTGTCTAAACGTCCAGAAGATATAATGAAACACGCATTTTCTAGTAACTATTTCATGCTCCACATAATAATCATTTGTTTGAATATGATAAAAAGAACCTGGTGAGAAGCGAAGCATGTATTCACGCCACCTGGGCAAAAAAGAATACGATTCCTCCTAATCACCTACATAATTGCAATTGTTTTCTGCTTCGCATACCATGCCTTTCTATAGGAAACTTTGAATCCATAGTTAGAGGTGATCCTTTCTTGAACTAGAGCAAATGAGACTGATGGTTCTTCCCTTATCATCCATAGCAATGAAGTCGTGACATACACTTTAAGACTAACATAAATAGCAGTAACATGATTTATCATCACACAATAAGCATAAAACATACATAGGACGAGCTCCGCAATGACGTCAGCATCAAGCTGTCTGTGACCCTGAGAAATGTGGTTATTCAAACAATCGTGATCACCACCCCATCTGGTAACCTTCTAATTTTCACCAAACACTGGTTTTATTGCCCTAACGCGCCACGGGCAACCCTTATCACGCGTGCAATATTTCATGTTTAACTTTGTAGGTGTGCTCTCAATTACAATTGCATCTTGATGCTCCCTTATAAAGTTGATCTTCAGTGCCATTTGAACCTCCTTTTGGTTGCAAATTCCTGATTCACAAATAACTTGTCACCCAATTGTCACAGACCTTGTATTGATCCCGATTCTGAAACTGAACCATCAGTACATGATTCTTGTTCGCTTTGATAACTCCAATCAATATGTGTGTAATGTGGAATTCCCCCAAAAAGGAATAACAACATCATCACCTGTATATAAGAATTAAAACTTGTTAATACACTATTTAAACACCCTAAATCACATACGAGTTATTCAGTAAAATACCTTCATGATGTTCTGCTAATTGCGCGGAGCCTATAAATCATCAAGTTGTGGGATTTGAGACTCCACCGGTTCATGGTATACTGGGATTTGAGACGCGAGCCTGTCACCACCGTCATCTTCTTCTGAAGCACTAGCATCCTCGGTGAGAAGACGTTCTTCCATTGTTATATTTTCATCATCATCATCGTCGTCGTCCTCATGCATAACCCAAGTAGGATCATTTTCATCTCCCTCGAAAATGTTAGCAGCTGGAGAAGCATGAGCAGCTGACGTTGATGCATAACGTGGAAAATTTAAAGCAACTGACCTCACTAGTAAAACTACATCCTCTGCTCCGACAATGTCCACATACAACTCCAAAAAATCTTTCCTTGACTGGTTGAAAAATTCTTCCATTATCATCTCGATGTCTTTATCATCCACCACTTGCAAACTAATGTATTGTTCAGATTGTTATAACCTTGTGGTGATCTGAGTGATACATTGGTTACCTTGAAGAGTTAACTTCTGACAAATTCTCTTATGTAGTTCGTCAATTGTTAAGTTGCGATTGATACGTGTCAGCCTTTTTTCACCTTCAAACATTACACCCCGTTGGCCTTCCACCTTCCTACCATTGTTATATAACACAACACGAACAGAATTAGAATGTGAACTCATTTTAAAATGGAATAATAAATAAAATAAAAGACTATATTTAAGCTAATAATTTCGTATATAAATGTAAGAATTGATGATAGAGAAGAGTTATGAAGAGTGTATAGAGTGATAAGGGTTTATATAGATTTTTTTTCACCATTCACGCGGGCTTCATATTTGCATGTGTCACGCCCAAATTGGGCATCACAGGTCACACCCCATTTAGGCGTGACTCACGTGGAGGTGACGCCTACATGGGGCGTGACCCGTGACGCCCAATTTGGGCATGACATTGTGCAATACATGTGTAATTATTTTCAAAACAGCAACAAATTCATAATTTTTTATTTAAAATATAATAAATTAATTTTTTTGCCTTTGATAATTATTCTGTGAAAATGTCTCTTTGAAACCAAATATTGAATTTAATTTGTGCTGCACATAGGTCGGAGTTGCTCCATTTAAGAGTCCGTTAAAAATTGGTGATGACAGTGCTCTTAATTATGTTCCTCTTTCAATACCTTCCCAAATTTTTTCACTCAGTTTGCCTCTTGCTTAGCATGCAATACGTCTTTGGCTACATTTTTGGAACCGTTTGGCGGGGTTTCACCCTGAACATGATCGGGTATTTTGTGGCTTCTCATGTAAGTAACATCTTTCATTTCATGCCATATGCATCTCTATATATAGCTACGAGGACGACAATGATTCTAATATAAATAAGCTGGCTAATATTAGGGATCAGCAAAATAACCGAACAAAATTTGCCTGAACGAGTCTTAAAAAGCATATTGGTTTTATAAACCAATTTTAAAATTAATCTGAACCATAAGAATTGATTCGAAAATTGGTTTGGAGCAAAAGTCGGTTCTGAACGAATTTGCATACCCAAATTGGTTCTAAAATTGATTTGAACATGTTCCAAACCAGTTCTAAAACATGAACATGTTTTGAAACATAAACCGGCAGTTCTGAAAAAATAAAAATTGATTTAGTCAAAAATCCAATTTGGGTCGACCCACAACAATATATGATTTTTTATTTTTTATTTTTTATTTTTCATGTACACAATTTTGTTGAACATTAATGGCTTCTAATTAAGGAGTTTTAGTCAAAAGTTAAAAGTTAATATTCACCAACTTATCTGCAAATGAAGACAAATATTCACTAAATTAAAAATAGGTGTGATATATCAAGCACTCTTAGCACAGATGGTAAGGAGTCTAGGTCCCTTAATCAGAGATCTCGAAAGATTTGGAAGAACTGCCCCTTTTAATAAGGCTCAACAAGTGCTCAAGTTGGATGTAATTCGAAAAATGAACCGGATGGGAAACTAAAAAAAAGTGAGATATCGAGTTGTTGTAAGTCAAAGTATAATACCCCAAACTTAAACATTTAATTGATTAATTTTAATTAAATAATTCAGCATGTCTTAGTGAGTAAAATTAAGTATAAGGCTTAATTAAATGAATCTGAGTCACTTTGGAGTTAAAAAGTGTACTCAGTGAAAATTAAGGGGTATAAATGGGTGTAGGCAAAAGTACCCAAAATATAAAAATAAAATTAGAAACATTCCTAGAAAAATATTCCAGACTGTTGGGTAAAGTTTGGTAATTAATGGAGTCGAATAGATAGATGAACCAATACCCGTTAGATATCACTTAACCAAGTTAAGTGACATAAAACAAAAGAAAACCCTTGTCCCCCCCCCATTTCAGTCGACGCCCAGAAAGAAGAGAAGAGAAGAAGAAGGAGAGGAAGAGAGGGAGAGAGAGAAAGAAAACCTAGGTTGTGTGATTTTCAACCGATTGGAGCGATTCAAAAGCCTAAATCACTTAGAATCTTCCCCTCTTTCATAATCCTAGCTTGGTTTTGAGTGGGAGTCCTTGTTGAGAGAGATATTGGCCCCCAAAGATTCGCCCCTTTTGAGAAGTGTGGGGTTTTGGGAGTTTCTACCTCCATGGAAGCTTGAGGAACACTCATTCCTCTATTGTGTGATCATTGGTGGTAAGTTTCCACTCTCTTTCACATGATTCTTGGAGATTTGCATGAGTTTAGGGTTAATGAATAGTGTTTTAGGGTTTTTATGAAATGTTGAGTAGATTGGCTATGTTCAAGGAAGAATGAGGCTTAGAGTATGTTGTGAAAAATGCTAGGAATGACATTTAATCGGTAGAAATGAGTTTATAGTGTTATTTTAGTATACTTTGATGTTTGGAGAAATCTAGGCTTGGAACTATGGATTTCCTTGCATTGTTAGCATTGTTTGATTGTATTCCTTGTGTTGATAGGATTGAGGCAAGAGGACCAAGTGGAGTGACCAACCCTTGGGGTTGTGTGCAATTGAGGAAAGCTCAAAGAGCAAGGTAAACCTTTGGACCTTGGGGTTGATCCCATTGAGTGTTCCACCATACTCCGTTGAGGAGAAATGGTTTATGAGATGTGATATGTAATTATGATAGTAATTGTATGCTCATGCATTGATTCATGCATTGATACATGTTATGATTGATTGATGATTATTGGTTGATGTTTGATTGTTTAAGAGTAATTGAGGAATGATTATAGAAGTAGCAATAATGAATGAGGTAATGGTTGAGGATTGTGATTGAGGTTATGAGTGATAGTATTATGATGAGGATGATTGGCAGGAACTTCCCTTGGAAACAACCCGATGTGGATCTCCATGTGGTTAGAGCCCAAGAGGAACAGCCCTATGTGGATCCCTCTTGGAGGTTCCTAGATTGAGGAAAGGACTTCCCTTGGAAACAGCCCTATGTGGATCTCCATGTGGTAAGAGCCTAAGAGAAACAACCCATAGTGGATCTCTCTTGGAAGTCCATGTGATGCTTGTGGATAAGAATGTGTTAAGCTATTATGATTATGTGTACATCAAAGTGAACCTTAGGGTGGAGTGATCTCCAAGGACCTCTGGTTTACTGTGATATATTCGTATATCTCACCCCGTGTTGTGGGGCATCATTTCAGGTACTGATAGAGGTGAGGTTGATCGAGGCAAGAAGCATGAGTAGACTGTACCTGATAGCTGGACATGTTGAGTTGCATGCCATTTAGCATTGCTATATGTATGTTTTGATGTCATATGATGTATTTTGGAGGACTTAGTGCATGATCATTGTAGTAGTAATGAGTATCTGATACATGGTTACTTGTTTTGATCATGTTCGTTTTGTAGCTAAGTCCTTGGGCATGTATATGAGATTTGTAATTAAGACATGATGTAATATTGTAAGTAATAAAGATATTTGTGTATGATGATTACTGTAAGTTAAATGCATGAATGTATTTTTATGTATTGGATATGTTGAGCTGAATTGTCTATAGCTAAGCTGTTAGATTGGGAAACGTTGAGAAAACAAAGGTTATGCTGCCCAATTTTCGTTAAATCAATGATGAGAGGATGAGAGTTAAGCAATGATATAGGGATATCGCAAGCTTGTTAAATAGGTTGTAAAATGTGTAGGATTGATTCCCCAAGAAAGATACATGAAAAATATGAGTATAGGAAATTGCCCAGAAGAGGGGGCTTAAGCCTGCAAATGGAGGCTTAAGCCTGCTCAGGGGGCTTAAGCGCCCATGAGGGGGCTTAAGCGCCCTGATGCACCTGTGAAGACCAAAAGCTTTCTGCCCCTGGGGCTTTAGCGCCCAAAATGGGGGCTTAAGCGCCCAGGTAGCGCGCTTAAGCGCCCTGGAGCGAGCTTAAGCGCCCTTGGTGGCTAAAAAAATGTAAATTCCCTCTGTCTGTGGGCGCTTAAGCTCCCTGGAGCGCGCTTAAGCGCCCTGCCCGCGTAGTTTTTCAGCATACACCTGAGTTAGCAAAATTGTCATAACTTGAGCTACAAAGCTCCAAATGAAGAGCGGTTTGAAACCACGCGTAGCTAACGAAGAGATCTACAATATAGTAGAAGTTGGAAAATAAATAAGAAGTAAATTAATGGTTTAAAAATGGAATAAGAACATGATGTTAAGCTTGGTTTATCTGATTTCGCAAAGTAATATGGTTATGATCACGCAATTGGGCATTTGAAATTCGGCATGTTTTAAAATGAAAAATTTAACCGGATTTTAATTGAGCCAATGTGATTGTAACTGCGCTTAATATCATAATGCGATGTTAACAAATCGGTTCTAGAACGGGGTGTTACACAAAGCATTGCAAATATTTGCTAGAAAAGAAAGATGACGTACAATAGTGTAAGTTTTTGAGATTTTTTTAGTATAGAATTAATCTATAAATACACAAGAATTCATTCCTTTATTTGTTATTTAACATAATTATGTCATGTGAGATAATTTTAATCATTGATAGACAAATTAATATCTTTTTTGCACTCCTTATCTTAATATCGTTTCTCTTTCATCTCTCATCATTGATTTGTCCATGAAGGATTAAAATTCCCTCATATGATCTGGTTATGTTGAATTACACATTAAAGTATCCAATCCCAAAAATATACACAATATCAAAAAAAGTGTATTCATACATAAGTACATTTCTTGATCGACATGCTAGCTAGGAAATTTGATTATTATTTACCAGGGAAAAGATTTATAGTTTCCACTGTAATGTCCCTGTCTCGAGCCAGTTAGTTAACATACATATGGTACAAAAGCGCAGCATAATTAAATTGCCAAAGCAGAAGACTTGATTTAAAGCCTCACAATTAACCTACGCTATTTTTGTGAGTTAACTTTTTCCTTTTTTATTTTCCTGATGTAATATGCTTATTGTAATCTTTTTCCATGATTAATCTAATTGTAAAAGCCCCATAATCGTACAGTGATATTCTTGTTCACTTATTAAGCATGTAACTATAAGCAATGGATAAAGACCATCAGAGTATGATAACTAGTACCAACCCTGACAGAGTCAAACATATAACATAATGTTTGTAAACTAGACAATATGGGGATTATATCTGACTCACATAATTATCCCTGCCAATCAGAAATGTCTAGTACAGTTCATGCATATTCAAATCGTCCAACACATGATATAAGAAATCGTCCAACAGAGGACATAAGACCCATCCATGAGCTCAATCATTATTAGCTTCATGCCATAGCAATCTATCATATACAAATTACTGATATATGCATCTAACTGAATAAATACATACATATATGCCTGAAATGCCAATGTACATACATCCAGTATGAATGAATCTCTCAAAATATATATACAGGTCATATACAAAATGTAGGTCATACATCATGACCCAAAAGAATAACATATACATAGTCATCCAGAAAGAAGGTCATCTAATCATAGACAGCTACTCGACTATTCTTGAATCACATCATTGGCCCGAGAGAGCTCTCTGATAGTATGCACACCTGAAACATATCCCCCAAAAAGGGTGAGATAAATAATCTCAGTAACCTCAGGGTTTATAGAGTTATCTCCACCCCAGAGCCTATTTTCTGCATGAAAGGTCAGATACAAAGCATAGAATATCATCATATAACAGAATATATCATATCTAAATTCATTACGTATATGTGACCTCTAAGAGCTTAGGTCCTCTTGTGGAATAGTCAACTTATTATGTACATATGACCTCCAGGAGCTTAGGTCCTCAAGTGGAATAGTTATAATATCTCTAACCCAAGTATTTAGGAAATTGCATGTGATTAAATAATTAATCATACATTATTGGGTTGAATTAAGTAAAAGGCTAAAATAAAAAGGATTAAGGCCCATTTTGGGTCAAAAAGTGCAATTAGTGAGAATTAAGAGGTAAAAATGGGTGTAGATAAAAGTATCCAAAATATAAAAGTAAAAGTAAAAATATTCTTAGAAAAATATTCCAGATCTTTGGGTAAAGTTTGGAAGTGAACGGAGTTAAATAGATATATAAGCTTATACCCCGTTAAAATAACTTAACATATGTAAGTTGAGAAATTAGCCTCACTTCTCTCATTTTCCTTCTTCTTCCTCGTGGGTGCAGCGCTTAAGAGAGAGGGAAAGACATTTGAAGACCAAACCCTAACTTTTCCAGTCCTTAACCAAATCAATCCATTCCAAAGCCAAAACCAATTAGAATCTTCCCCTTATTGTGAATCCAACCTTGGTTTTGAGTGGGAAGCCTTGTGGGGGAGAGATATCTCCTTCCAAAGATTTCAAAAATTTGAGAGGAATTGGTGTTTTGGGGTGTTTTAAGAGCATGGGAGCTTGGAGTTCACTTCTATGAGTATTCTGTTAAGATAGGTGGTAAGTTTTCCTCACTTAAACATGATTTTCATAAATTTTCATGGATGCTAGGTTTTGAGGTGAATAGTGCCATGAAATTCATCATTGTTTTGGATGAATTTTGATGATTTTCTTGTGTCTTATGATGTAGAGATGTGTTTGAGGACACTATGTTACAGGAAAACCCATTGGTGGAGCCATTGGTGTCAAACCCTTGCCTTTTGCATAATTAGAGAACAAAAGGTAAGTTGAGAATGGTGTTAATGTTGAGGAAGTGCCAAATGCTTAGAAGTGTTGAAAAATGCTAAAGACTTCAAGCAACCTGGCAAACCGATAAACCTGAAATACTTAGAAAAATATATCTAAGTTATCAGTGAGGCATGAAACTCAAGATGCGAGTATAAAGGAAAAATCATCCAAAGGCATGAAATGGATGATACAAAAAAAATCGCGGGAGTCTCACCCTGTTCCATCTGAACGTCATGACAATGCAAGCCAGACTCAGAAAGGTGTATGATTCCGATCAAGTAAAAATCTGTGAAAGACACGATATGTATAGCCGGGTTGAAACAGAAGACGACATCAGAACGAGATTCTGGCAAAGCCGAGCTCAAATAAATAAAGCTACAGTATATAAAACTGGGCTAATTACAGCAAGGAGAAATTCAACTCTGCAAACGAAACATGCGAAGAACCAGGAACAAAACCCCGCAACATCAGTGAAAAAGGATCTCAAAGATCCTCAAATCAGCAAAAAAGGCAAATTGCAAAAGCAAGTCAGTATTTCGACATAAAGATACTTGAATTAAAGTAATACAGCCCGACAACTTGAATTTCTCGACTGCCAGACGGGGGGGCAAGTGCAGGAATGCAACCAGAATTAAAAGAGGAAAGCAACAATCCTCATAAGTCAAGATCTCGGTAAGACAGTAAAAAAGACTGGTCAACTAGTCCGAGCTATGTACCTCGACCAAAAAGGTTAAGGGAGGAATGTTGAAACAACATACACGATACCTGGCTCATGAAGCCCGACACCGAAGAAAGAACAAAATAAGAAAAAATAAATCCGAAACACGGATCGACAAGAATCCATGGATTCAGAACATGGATCAATGAATCAATAAAACTTCGGCAAAGAGGACAAAGGGAAAAAATTTCCTACTTCCAATAAGAGACCTCGGTCATGAAAGTTTGACCAACAAGATTATGGTTCAACAGACTTCGCTTTGGACACCCTAACTACCGAGTAGGAAAGCAAATGATGATGTCTAAAGTAAGAATTCAACATAACAAGATAGTTGAAGTCATACACCACAAAACAAAGGCTAAACAAGGCTCAGACCATGAACATGGCCGACTTCCAGACATAGAGAATAAAATATTCGCAAATGCAATAAAGTGTAATGCACAGAAATCCTGTATCCCGGACACCCAGGCTGCTGGGCTGGGGGGCAATAACCCAGGATAAAAATTCGGGATAAAGAATGAAGACGGGTTTGTAGAGATGGGATCCTGAATAAAAGGATCACACCCCAACCCGCGAATAAAATGAAGACGTGTTTGGAGAGATGGGGTCCTAGACAAAGGATCACACCCCATTCCGCGATAAAATAAGATGGGTTTGGAGAGATGTGGTCCTAGAAAAAGGATCACACCCCATTTCGCGATAAAATAAGACGGATTTGGAGAGATGTGATCCTGAAAAAAGGATCACACCGCAATCCGGGATAAAGACCCAGGATAAAAATTCGGGACAAAGAATGAAGACAGATTTGGAGATATGGTATCCTGGAAAAAGGATCACATCCCAATCTGAAATGGCTCACAAGTCAAAACGGCGAAATAAGTCGAAGTCAAAAAATGACACTTTGGCAAGAAGCCGAGTTAAATATTATAAAGCCAAGGTTATGAAAACCTATGTCTAGCAACGTGCAAGAACCTGGATAGAAAACAAGTTAAAATAAAAAGCACACTGCAGGACCGTGGCTTCTAGACGAGGCATAGGAAAAAGGAAGGACGCTTCTGAATCCTAAATGTTGTCAAAATAAACAACATGTGTACAAGCTGGGATAAATGAAATCAGGCTTGAAAAATAAGGGGCAGATTGGTACAACCTTGATCAAGTCACCATGACACCTCAAATTTGAAAACCTAATTAAGAAAATTGGGTTAAAAGCAAAAAGCAGAATCCGCATGAAAGACCTTGGCTAGGTCATTTTGTTCAGTTAACGCTGAAAAGTTGAATCTGAATCAATAAAGCCATAGTGCAAGAAGTTGGGCTCAAAGCGAAAGCCTCGGAAGAAGAAGCCGAGCTCGATGTTAAAAGGAGGCAAACACTGCCTCACCAAAACACCACCTCAGCCAAAAAAGGTTGAGGGAGAAATAAAGAAACAACATATTCAATACTCGGTTCACTAAAACCGACTGAATGAATGACAGAGATAATAACTGCAATCACTGACCCAATTAAGTCGGCCAAAAAAAGTTCCAACCCAAAGACAATTGCTTCAATGAAGATGCCAAGTCAAATGCAGAGATTACTGCTATTACATCCCGACAGCTGGGACAACCAAACTACCGGGTTGGGGGCAACTGTTATGGACCGACAAAGGCCTATTTTCTAGAAGGTCCAACAAAGGATAGCACAAACAGGAAGGAAATCTTCTATTAATGACGATCCTATTCAGACAGCTAAACAGCTCACATTCTAGAAGGCCCAAATAGGGCTAACAACTAAGAGGGGATTAAGGAAACATTCCTTAATTATACTAATCATACTACGACAGCAATGGATCAACAACTGGATCCCTAATACTCCTAAGAGGCCCAAAAATCCACTCCTGCCAAGTAACTCATCTATAAATAAAAGGGTTAAACCAATAAGGTACATACACTCTAAATCCTCTCTCTTAGTTTGTCACTGTGCACACACCCCACGCCTTGACTATGTCGTTATATTATAGTGCACAGTGATCCGCTTATCTTTAGGGTACCTCTCTTATAGGTACATGAGAGAGGACAAGCAGATCCAATATTAAATTATCAATCTCTGATTGGACATTCACGATCTATCAAATCGTAACAATTACCTATTACATGAACTTCACAAATTTTGTTTGAAACTAAAAAAAAATTATATTGTAAAATACCCTTTTAAAATTTGGTAAAGAAGATGACACAAGATTTTGAAATCTATTTTTATAAGAAGGATAAAATAGTTATATTAATTAAAAATTCTAATATAGTTAATGAGAGACTTGGATGGAATAAAATAAGGGAGTAAGTAATAAAAAAAGCACGGGTAAATTATTCAAATGCAAACCATAGGAAGATATTTGAGCTATTCCCTATTTAATAATGTGATAACGAATGTCGGTAGTGCGGTTACAGTAACAGAAGAGGAAGAATTTCGTTACTGAACACGGTTTTCCGTTTTGAGTTTTAAGCTTCCCTTTCAGTAATTTAACAGAACTGAAGCTAATAGCTCCAAAACGAAACGTCTAGTTATCCATAAATGGGTAACGCACATGGACGTGGCCATCGCAAACACCGTAATCCCGTTTCTCACAACACCGTTCCTCCGCCCTATAAATACGGTGTTCAGCCACAGCCACAGCCACAGCCACCACCATTACCAATCCCAACCCAAAACGAGGCTACCTCCAATTCCAACATGATCTCTCTTCCTTACGCGCGCGTCGACACCACTCTCCGTTCACTCGCCGGCCAGGCCGAGGGCTTTGGTCGCTCCGCAATCGGTGGCCTTCACGGTCCCCTTTACCATGTCACATCTCTCGAAGGTTACTTACTCTCTGCTTCTTCTCATTCTTTCAATTATTCATAACTGAAAACCCTAATTAAACATTTCCATTGGTGTGTTTTTTATTTTTTTTATTGATTTCAGATGATGGACCAGGATCACTGCGTGACGCGTGTCGCAGAAAAGAACCATTATGGATTGTGTTTGATGTTTCGGGAACTATTCACCTCTCTTCATACTTGAGTGTGTCATCTCACAAGACCATTGATGGACGCGGCCAAAAGGTTAAACTCACCGGAAAAGGTTTGCGGCTTAAGGAATGTGAACATGTGATAATTTGCAATTTAGTGTTAGAAGGAGGAAGAGGGTCTGATGTGGATGCTATTCAGATTAAACCTAATTCGAAGCATATATGGATTGATCGCTGTAACCTAAGTGATTTTGATGATGGCCTCATTGATATCACACGAGAAAGCACTGACATTACTGTTTCTAGGTGTCAGTTTTCTCAGCATGACAAAACAATGCTTATTGGTGCTGATCCCTCTCATGTTGGTGATAGATGCATGAGGGTTACTATACACCATTGTTTTTTTAATGGGACTCGACAGAGGCATCCTCGTGTTAGATTTGCGAAAGTGCATCTCTACAATAATTACATCAGAGACTGGGGCATATATGCTGTTTGTGCTAGTGTGGAATCCCAGGTGATTATGTGTTTATGGTGAATTTGAGAACAAGTTTTTGAATGGTATACAAAATTATCATTTGCGTTATTTGTTTGATACCAGATATTCTCGCAACATAATATTTATGAAGCGGGTCAGAAGAAGGTGGCATTTAAGTATCTTAATGAGAAGGTATGTGACTAGTTCTTCTGTTTAGCGGCCATGTAATGTTTTAGCTTTTAGCTTGAATTGAAAACACTTGCATTATGAGCAATATTTCAACGGATGTTGCAACAATGGTGAGGTAGTATGAAAAACTGTTTCATGACATTGATCACTATCCTTTATACTGTTTTGTATTATTTCTGGTGGCATTTTATTTGGATAACAAGACTGAATTGGTGACATTACCGCAGGCAGCAGACAAAGAAGCAGAAGCAACTGGTTACATAAGGTCTGAAGGAGACTTATTTTTAAATGGTGCTCAACCAGGGTTAATGACTGAGAACATTGGGTGTAATATGTTTCACCCCAGTGAATACTATCATACATGGACAGTGGAACCTCCAACGGATGATCTAAACCAGGTTCTTCATCACTGCACTGGATGGCAATCTGTTGCAAGGCCGGCAGATCAAACACTTTGCGCTGAATAGAAGAGAAGCTGTTGTATACCTCCAGCGTTAAGTGAACTGATAGATTACATCCCCTCGATCTACTTCCATGTGTATATATATAATTGTGTGAACTGTTGATGCTCATCTTGTTACCAGTTTCGTAAGTTAATTTCATAGTTTCATTTGCATACATGTAACAGGGTGTGACAATAATAATATATAATACTATTAATGTATTTTTTATCCTCTATTTGAGATCTATATGTAATAAATTGTTATAGATAAAGAATGACGAATAAATGGTGGCGACTTGTAAGTAGGCAAAAAAGGATATTGCAGTTTGCATAAAATAAAATCAACCAGGATTTTTTTGAAATAACACTGAATTTAACATAATCCTTGGAAACTCTGAAGGCACAAGTCGTATACAGAGGCAATATTTGAAACTGAAAAGTACCTGGGCAAAATTGGAATGCTGGCATCCAAACCTTGAAATTTCAATATAATTTTAAGTTACTAGTCTACAAATGCAATTTGAAAGCAATTCTAGCCTAAACTTTGATTGCATACTTTCTTAGTGGAAAGTACAACTCCTCCTTCTTCTCCCGTTCTGTCTTCAGTGATGCCTGCACCAACCAAGCGGTAAGATGAAGCACAACTATTGGAAAACAAGTATTGAAGTCAAAATACAAAGAAAACACCAAAATCAGAAACCGAAGATCAAGCAAACCCAGAATTACCCAAGTGAGACACCTATGATTCAAAACAACCAAGTACATAAAAAACTCCAAATATTGCTTTTAATCCAAAAAATAGATATGGGATCGCTGAGGTTAACTACAGCAGCAAGTATGTTCATTACAAAATGTCAAAAGCTATCCTATCAGTCTATCACCGCTTGAACCAGTAAAACTGCAGAAGCAACAACGAAACTAACAAGTTAGTATTACATTACATCATGTAGCAGGTGAAGCTGGATTCTACTAACTATTTTCACCGAACTTCCAAAACGCGAAGCCAATTTTGGATGAATAATTGTCATTTTTCAAAAAAGTACAATAATCAAATCAAACAACAAATTAACACAACAATTGGAAGCAAAACAAACAACACTTACAATAATGGAAACAACCAATCAAAACTGCAACCAAACAACAGAATCAAGAAGAAGAAAAAACCTGGTTTTTTGTGAGGCGTCTGCGAATGGCTCGGGTCTTCTTGGGACGAAGGTCAAGGGGCAAATACTTCTTCTTCTTATAAGCCTCTCTAAGCGCCGCTTTCTGCTTCTGCGAAATCACCGTCAAAACCTGCGCTATCGAAAGCCTCACCACCTTGCTGCCAAAAAAACCACCATTTTACAAAACGCGATTATCAGCGTCGATCTAAAATCACCACAAACACAGACATTAAGAACAAGTTACAAGTGACCAAGTTCGGGGTGGTTTAGTTTACATCTTGGAAAGCTTGTTAGGGGCGCCGCCGGTGACCTTGGCCACTCGAAGCAGAGCTAGCTCCGCCTTCAGATCCTTCAGCTGGTTCAGCAGCTCCGCCTTGGTTTTGTTCCTCAGCTCGTACACCTTTATCCTCGCTTCAACATTCATCAAAATCTCAATTCAGTTAAAACCCCAAAAATGCCAATATTTTTGAATCCTTAACACAGATAATGCCTCATCAGTCTTACCCATTTTCTGGATCCACGCGCAGCTATGCAACAATTCCCTAAACCCTAAAATCGGAAAATCAAGGTTAACGACGATCCATTATATACGTAATTATTATTACTATTACTTATTTTCTTGGTACATGGAAGACAAGTGGGGTCGGCGAGAGTTGGGCCAGAAATAAATCTCATATTTGTTTTATGGGCCTGAATGAAACTATTTCTTGTTTGAGCTTAACTTATATACTGACCCAATTAATAACTCAGATAATGATTTTGATCAAAATAAAGATAATTAAGTATGTAATTAGAATCCATGCCTTCAGTTTTACGTCTTTCCTTTCCTTTCCTTTCCTTTCCTATATAACAAACCATAACTGCATTTCTGGTTCCTGTTGTGTCTCGCCTCTCGAGAGAACTAGATTGTGGGATTAAAAAAAAGTCTCAGGTAATTCGCAGTTAAAATTTTGTGTAAAAAAATATTTTACCTTTTTTTTTGTTTTTTTAACATTTTTATATTTTTAACCTGAGGCATTGATGTTGCGGTCAGTTTGATTGATTGTGAAAGAGAAAGGAAGAAAGAAAGAAAGAAGGAAAAAGGGGGAAAAATCGTGAAAGGGAAAGTATGAAACAGCTACACAAACAAGCGAGCTTAAATCACAGAAGGGAGGAAGAGATGGGTAATGTTCAAGACGATACCCCACCGTACTCCCCCAAATCAATCAAGCACAGCAGATCCCTCCCCAGATCCATTAACTACCTCTTACGAGAGCAGCGTCTTCTCTTCATCCTCGTTGGGATCTTGATTGGTTCCTCCTTCTTCATCATTCAGCCCACCCTCTCTCGTATTGGCCCAACCGAGGCCCACTCTTTCATCCCTCGATCCACCGGCCTGGCCCGCGTTGATACCGGCCTCGGTAGAGTGGGCCGTGTCCCCGTCGGAATCGCCGGTCGCCGATTGAGAGTCGTAGTCACCGGCGGTGCGGGTTTCGTTGGAAGCCACCTGGTTGACAAGCTCATCGCGAGAGGGAATGACGTTATCGTGATCGATAATTTCTTCACCGGAAGGAAAGAGAACCTTGTGCACCTGTTTGGGAACCCGAGGTTCGAGCTCATTCGTCACGATGTGGTGGAGCCGATCCTCTTGGAGGTTGATCAGATCTACCACCTCGCATGCCCTGCATCGCCGGTGCACTATAAGTACAACCCTGTCAAGACCATCATATCCTTTTTCTTTCGTTTTTGATTCTTTTGTTGTTGGTGAATTTGAATTTGAATTTAATATGAGCTTTGGATTTGGGATCCTTAACTGATTTGAATTTAATATGAGCTTTGGATTTGGGATCCTTAACTGTTTGTGATTGATTGATTGATTGATTTACAAGACGAATGTGATGGGTACGCTTAATATGTTGGGGCTTGCAAAGAGGATTGGGGCGAGGTTTCTGCTTACTAGTACTAGTGAGGTTTACGGTGATCCGCTGGAGCATCCACAGAAAGAGACATATTGGGGAAATGTCAATCCAATTGGTGAGTGAAAAATTGATAAACCAAATTGTCACTCAAATCAAACCTTCCTTTTTTTGTTGTTGTTGTTGTTCGGTTTGTTGAAATCTTAGTTTTGAATTTCAGGTGAGAGGAGCTGTTACGATGAAGGAAAGCGGACTGCTGAAACCTTGGCCATGGATTATCATCGTGGTGCTGGCGTTGAGGTACCTTTCATATGTATTTTATTGATCAGGGCTAGTGTATGTTATCACCTTAATGATTTCTATCGTAAAAAAGAGATATTTGAATGGAACCTGTGATCGTGATTGTGCTACACTGTCTTCTAGGTTGTTGGATAAAAAGTTAGTGTAATGTTACACTATCCTATTTTGATACTTGGTTATTTTATGCATTATGCTTTGTGTGTGTTGTTTTAACTTGAAAACATGCATACATGTTGTTTAACAGATATCATTTCTGTTTCCCTTGCTCCTACTTGTTTGCTAATGAATATTTACTTGCCAACTCATTAGATTATCCTTAGCTTGTCGGACCGTTGTTATTCCAGGAAATTGAAATATATTGTTGTTTTTGAACTTGCCAACTTGTTCTGCACTTTGGATTTAATAAACATATTAGGCTTCCCCGATTTATCAATTGTAGTCCGTGAATGATCTTACCATTTCTAATCAGTGAGTATAAAACATGCACACATTTTCAAGCGGCCAAACCCTGAAGATTATATAGGGTGAAGATACAGACTGTCTGAATGTTTGCAAAGAAATCTGGTGCTAAACTCATTTGTACAGGATGACTTAACCTGGCTAACTTGTGGAAACAGAGATTGTGGAGAGTCAGCTAAATTGTTCTGACATATATTTATTAATGAAGTTCCTAAAATAAATGAGTGAATTGATTTTTTTTTTTCTTTCTTTCTTGAGAACTTAATTGGGAAGATCAGACATTTATAATTTTATATCACGCTGGATGGAAACAACTTCAATTTCCATGAAAAAGGAAAGATATTTTTTGCTACAGGAAATTAGTTGGTTATTGAATATTTCACTTTGCTGATGTTGGATTCCTAATTAATTAAAAAATACAATTTGGTTTTTACTACACCATTATTTTATAGAAGACCTGTATGTTCTGAGTTATCTGTTCGTAATCAGTTCTTGCTTTTAATTTTTTGTTGTTTCCCCCCTTCCCCCTCCTCTGCTTATTTATTTTTAAAACTTATTGAAAAACAGATGGATTAATTTCGACTGTTTAGGGTGCAGTGGTGGATTCTAAAGAATACTTTCACCTAGAGTTGGCAAATTTCAATTTCAGGCTATAAATCAAAGCAATTGGCTAAGTTTAACAGGAGGATATGATGTCAGTTATGATATCATTTTTTTTTGTTTTACAATAAAACCAGCACAAAAGATGAACTTATTGTTAGCTTAAGATTTGTTTATTTTCCTAGACAGCAAATAAAGATCAAGACAAAAATAGACACAGATAAATCCTTTTTATTGTGTACCAAAAAAAAAAAAATCCTTTTCTTCATTAACCTATTGGTTGCTGGTATTGCATTATCCTTAATAAAATCTTTAAGAATGATACTGATTGTATATATTGGATTTGAAACATTTAGGTTCAATGCATGGTTAAATGCTTGACATTTTCTTCTTACAGAGAATAATTAATATTTAATCCAACATAAACGAAATTTTGACTACTTCTGGTAAGTTTTGTTAATCACGCGATGTTATTGATACTGATCAAGTTTGCTGATTTATAGGTTCGTATTGCTCGAATTTTCAACACATACGGACCCCGCATGTGTTTAGATGATGGGCGTGTTGTTAGCAATTTTGTTGCACAGGTTTGAGACTCCCTTAATTTTTTTATTACTGTGGGAGAGGGATTTGTGTTCTTATGCTATTTTTTTCTCATGTTCAAAGGCTATTCGCAAACAACCAATGACTGTTTATGGTGATGGGAAGCAAACAAGAAGTTTCCAATATGTCTCTGATTTGGTATGTAGCAATTATGTCTGAATCCTTTCTCTTTTTACTACAGTTTGGTTTGGCATACAACATGTTTTGCTGATTCTAAATGATGAGAGCTATATTTGAGTAGTTTTTTTTTTTTTTTTTGTGGGGGGTAGCTTAAAAGATATAACTGCATGTTTTCTAAAACACTCAACTAGCTTTGGCAACCTGATTTTCTGTTAAGTGAAATACTAATATCATTCAAATCGAATGGACTTTTAGAGAGTAACTGAGAGAGTTCATATAGCACCGAGAAAACAGCTGCTTTGGAAGGTTAAATGAAATTATTGATCATTGCTTTTGAGGGAGAACTTTGGATCTATAGTTATCAAATGCGGATTGCGGCCGACCATGAAAATGCTAGTGCTATGGCGGGGGTTTCGGTATCATGGAATAAAATTTGGTCAGCAAGAATTAAATTCATATGGTCAGCAAACGAAATTTGGTCAGCGAGCGTGTGAAGAGGGAAACATAACTTGAGAAAACAGAAATATGGATAATATAGAAACAGAACAATGTGAATAGTGAGGGTACTTGAAACAATGTGTGTATACAAAATTTTGACAGAACAAGTTTTAAAATCATATGCATAATATAGAGAAATATGAGTATTTGAAACAAGTTTTATGTATAATATAGAAAGTTAGAAACCAAAACAGAACAGGTATAATTTTGACAATGCAAGCGTGATTTTGACTTAGACATAATGGGTATGATATAGAAACAGAAACAGAATGGGCATTTGAAACAGAAATAGAGAAATAACTCATAATGTGAATTTGACAATCACACCCTACCCCTCCCAAAAAAAAAAAAAAAAAGAGACGAGAGAGAGAGAGAGAGATGAGATATGATTACCTGTTCTTCTGTCATGCAAGAGAGAGAGAGAGACGAATCAGAGAACAGAGGAGAGTGAAAGAGATGCTTTACAGAGACGTGAGGGAGAGTCAACATTGAGAGAGTTAAAACAGAGGCAAATAAATAAATAAATAACTATTAGAAAATTAAAACAGAGGCAAACTAGGATTTTGCCGTTGCTTCACTGTTGCAGTGCAATTGCGTCTAGGCGATTGCATTCATGACTGGAAAGGCAAATGTCCACAACCTGCTACTGTAGCAGAATTGCACACAAAAGCAATTGTGTGCTTTTGGATCAATTGTAAGGTTATTTCTTTGTGACCGGAAAGTTATAGGTTTGAGTTTGAGAAACAGTGTCTTTGCAAAAACGCAAGGGCAAGACTGCATACACTCGACCCTCATCTCTACTCTTGTAAGATCGAGGAACCTTGTGCCCTGGGATTTCAGCTATTGTGTGAAATAGTTTTCTTCTACCTTTGATTTAAAATGGTAAGATTTTCAATTGGATAAGTTGAAATGTAGAAATGATTGATTAGTGATCTCTACTTTTTTTGGTAAGAACATGTGCAGCATTGTAATGATGCAATGATGAACTGAATTTCTTTCCCTATTCACAGGTTAATGGGCTGATGGCTTTGATGGATGGTGAACATGTGGGACCTTTCAACCTGGGTAACCCAGGGGAGTTCACCATGTTAGAGCTTGCTCAGGTATCTTGCTTCTTTTCTATTCTTACTTTCATTTCTTTCTGCTTTTGGTTTACAGTTCTGCCTTTTCCTTATAAGGTTCTTTGCATGACATGCTGTGACTTGCTTATTTTATTCATTCCTTAATCAATAGCCTAACGTATACCGTATTAGTTGTGTCTTCTACAGTAAGGGCACACTTCTGTATGAGTTTTGGGGTTCTGGGGAGTGAACTGAGATCAAAGTTACTGTTTTATTGACATCCTATCATTGTCATCTTAAATACGCAGGTTGTCAAAGAAACAATTGATTCGAGTGCTACAATAGAATTCAAACCAAATACTGCTGATGATCCACACATGAGGAAGCCAGATATTAGCAAAGCAAAGGAACTACTGAACTGGGAGCCGAAAATCCCGCTGAGAGAAGGGTTGCCGCTTATGGTGAATGATTTCCGGAATCGGATTTTGAATGAGGATGAAGGAAAAGGGATGAAGTAGGCAGCAAACCCTGTATGTATATGGAGAAGGACGTGTCTCGTCGTCATTTTTTTTTCTCATCTATAGTCAACATCAACAGAAAGTTCTGGTAATACGTCACTCTTGTAGGAAGATATGTCTACTGATTTTTACATTTAATCATTCATGCTTGCTTAGCACACAATGTATTTGTTAAATTTTGAAAAATTCTTTTCAGCAGTTTTCTTGTCTATTGTATTGATTAAAGTTGTAGTATTTGATATTTTGATTCTGGTATCATGAGAATGAAATTTATTCTATAGAAATTTGTGAATTTTAATTTTTTTACCATTATAACTATTTTGCTTTTTATGGTAGAGGGGAAGGGAACTTGGGAGGTGGGAGGTGGAATATGGCTAATTGCAAGGACGAGTGGCAAAACGGGTCAATACGATACGAAACCATTCAATCAATACACGACATATATTTGTTGATGGGTCAAAAATTTGAACCCGAACGAACACTTGTTGTCAGAGGTGACAAAGTGGGCAGCACACTTCGCCAAAAAATAAGTCAACTCGTCCCATCCTCCTTTTGAAATTGAGCTGAAAAACTTGGTTTGTCCTATCTCATTTGACGGGTTGGGCAGATTGGCTCGCCAGTCTGAGTCTATTTTACACTGACCCGTCTCGATCCGTCATCAACCTGTCAAAAAACGAGTCTGCCCTATCTTGTCCAGTTTAGCGGATGGGGCGGGTTGGCCTATCGAGCTGAGCCTAGCCTGTTTTGTCGGCTCTACTTGCTATGGGTCGCGGGTTGATACAACATGACACGAAAAAATTGAGAATTTATTTTAAAAAAAATTAAAAAATACCAAAAAATCTGAAATTGTCATGTATACTTGCGAGTTGATAAGACACGATTAAGATTTTATAATATGAATTACCAAAAATATTCCCAATAAGAGTTAACATTTGGGTTAACTTGTGACGCAATAGGATATTAATTTATATCAAAAACTTGGTTAATTGAGATTTTATAATATTCATACATGATCCGTTTGAATCCGTGGATGACATGACATGCATTTTGATGTGTTGGATCGTGGGTTGACCCACGGGTTATGACATGTTTTGTCAAGGTTACACTACCTGATATGGCTAATTGAGATGGCCATACGGCTTAATTATTTGGAGGCAACATTTCCAGCCCACTCTTGGTTTCTTGATTTCGGCCCTGCACCAAATTGCTGTTTTATATTTATCTATTATTTTATGTTAGAGCTGATAAATAATTAATTAACATGTGTTAAAAAAATTCAACCGATATTTTCTTTAGTATGTAATATCTCTTATATATGAAATTATAAGTATAAATTAAAGATAAAGTGTTTGTCTTTTTAAATGACACAATTTATATTCTTTCACTCTCACAAAGAGGTGCGACTCACATCTTTATATTTTTTTGTCCACTCTCTTCACATTTATTTATCTCTTTCTCTCATTTAAAATGACACAACTTTACATCCTTTAAAATGATACACATTTTTTTCATAAATTAATTAACTGTAATTGAAAAATACAAAATATTTAATAAAGTTTTCGGATTTGGAAGGAAAATCTTTCTAATATTATTAATCGTTAGTGCATGACAGCAGTTAGTCAATCTCGTCGTATTTGATATATTAGAAATGAATACGGTACTGTTCCTCTTTATTTCATAGACGCAACTCTCAAATGAGATTTATATTAACACCCCTTCTGAATTTCAGATCCCTTTTTATAAGTCATTAAATAGTTGGAGTTATCAATTTATCTGGTGAAAATTATGACGTTCAAATTTTATTCATAGTTCAAACTATACATGCAAGTTCTTTGTAAAAAAATGATAGATTTATTTACAAAAAAAAAAATGATAGATTTTTTAAGAGAAAAATATTTGTCATTTTAAAATACATATAGTTGCATCATTTTAAAAGAGAGAAAGACACGTTCTAGTATTTTTTTTATTTAAAATTTAAATTTTTTAAAAAATACTCATTTTATCTTACATAATTTCAATTACTTGTATTTTTCTCTCGTTTAAAATGATATAATTTTATATTCTTTACAAGGATAAACACTAAACCCATTTTTTAAAGGAAAAATTTAAATTTAAAAAAAAAAAAAAAAACCGCCTATTTTTTCTCTCATAATTCTCATTGTTTGTTCTTTCTTATACTTTAAATGACATAATTCTATGTCAATTCAAGAGAACAAACAGTAAACCTGTTTTAAAAAAAGATAGCTTAACTGGTGACAATAACTTAGAAGAACGAAGGCAGAATTTCAAGAAAATAAAGTGGTTACATCATACTGTGCTATCTACGGTAGTATAATTAATAAAGAAGAAAGAAATGAGGTGCTTTCTACTTTCGGTTGCGATGGATAATCAGAATCAAAACCCAGGTTTGGGTACTTTGTTCTCTGGGACCATATTTGAAAAGGAAACCCAACACCATCTGTCTTGAGGAACATTCTCCACATAGCATTATCATTTATCAGTGCTTTTTGTTTTTGCTACTAGATATAACACTATCACTCTCGGCTATACAAATTATCTAGCATGATTATTTGTGTCACAAAGCATATTAACTTTCCCAATTGCCATCATTGATATAAAGTTATTGTTCTGTAATTCATTGTGTACCAATATAGAGTTGGGACTTAGTATTGCTGTTCATAATAATTTCAACATTGGTGGAGAGAAAATTGTAAATGCCATTTTCCTACAAAAATAATTTATTTATTTTTGGCAGAAGATGATGACAGGTCTCTCAACAAGAATCTATAGTTTCAAACTCATTTCCTAATCTCTGAGGAAAATGATTTAGAAACTTCAGAAAAAATTGCATTACCTAAGAAAATAACACTAATTATAATCTTTGATAGATATTGAATCATTTAGGAAATTGGGCAATTAATCATGGAATCGTTCAAAGATGGGACTCTTAATTGGAAGATGGGGTAGGCAACGGAAGTAAGGATGAAAAGAGGATGAATAAAGCCATAGAAGCATCTGATTCCATGAAATTTTGAAAGAGACTTTTTCTGAGTTAATGAAAGTGAGAAAAAAAAATAAAAGGTTGCTTTGCGTCTCCTCCATCTACTGAAAGCAAAATTCCAAATGGTTAATGAACTAGCAGAATATGTTCCATTACAATCTTAAATTGTTAATAATGTTGGGTTTTGATTCTCATCAAGAAGACTTTTGTTGTCTTTGAATTTCCCTTTTCCTGTGCCACCAGCCTCTCTAATGTTTATGCGAGTTCAATAACTTTCTCGAAACTTCAGTTTCTAAAAAGCAAAAAACTTTGGTAAAAAAAAAAATTGAATAGATTATTTTACCTAACTTTTTTTTATGTCTATCTTACTTATTACTCTCTAAGATCAGATCTCAACTAATATTCTTTTCTCTTGAGATTCTAATTTAATGGTGTTGGAGTGTGATAAATAAATATGTATGAAAAAATAAATAAATAGAATAACATGTCTCACAATCCCAAAAAAATTAGGAATCTGAGATAGTTAAACGAGAAAGAAATATTATCTCACATTTTCGATTAGGTCCACTCACTTTAATTTTGATTTTTGAACTAAGCCTCTTTAAGAAGGCACCATTTTGCATTTTAATGGTAATCATATATTGAATTTGGGCTTTGCATTTCTTCAGCAACTGAAGATTATCGTTTTTCCTACGGAGAGTAAACAAACCGGAACCCATCAGATTTTGTAAAATATAAAATAAAAAATATTTGACACATTTCTCGAAGTATGAGAGACAGAAGATTAAGAGGTAGGATATTCCTACTACCAATTTTTTCTACTACCACTCCACTACCACTTTAATCACCATTAGATTCAAAAGTTATTTTTTTTTTCTCTCTCTTCATTCAATTTTTCCTTTAATCCAACGGTGATTAAAATGGTAGTGGAGTGGTAGTTAGAATATCCTAACCCGAAGATTAACAGATTCCTGTTATATAAGAATTAATTTTGCCATTGAATTTAGACAGAATAGAAAATGTCACAAACTTTCCTTAATGATCTTCAAATAATTACTTATTTGCAATAATCAATTAATTTTGGACTGTACTAAAAATTGTTTGATGTAGTACATTATGGGCCCTCGTACTCTGCCACCCAGTTGTTTTTTGCAATAATTTCTTCATAAATTATAGATTATCAATTCTGTGAACTTCGCACATGAAACTGCTGCAAATATCTAGCCGTTGCTTTGTTTTCATCTGCCCAAGTTTTCTATTTTCCAAAAATGATTTCTAGACAAGCTTGCTGTCAAATGCTTGGTGAGTATTTAAACCTGTAGGCCATGCCCAACAAGCCAAAAGAGCATTAATCAAATTCTCAGAGCTTTAGTTATTCGTGTTCGTGCCATCAATTTTATTTATTTTTCACAACAATTTAGGCACCCCTGAAAAACAATTAAAATAAAGTACTACATGTGTTCAAATATGTAATCAAAATTTAAATGATAATCTCATCTAATACCCTCACAAAATAGAGAAAAATTGGTATCCAAACTCCAAGCTATATATATATATATATATATATATATATATATATATATATAACAAAACTATATTTCTCTAATTATTTGAAATCAGGTGCATATATATATATATTCCTTGCTTTTTTTTACCCTGTTAGCCACAAGTGAAGTGGGTAGGTTCATGGGTGACCCTATAGGGCTTTCGAGTGAGCTTGATAGTTTAATTCAGTGTACTTACAGTATACACATTTATTGCATCTAATAAAGATAACCCTGTTTTGCTGTTTCTTTGACATTAAATTGATGCTCTTCCACTCTCCATACGAACTAGTAAAATTTTGCATTGATTAAATTTTATTGCATTTGATACTAATGCACGTGCAGCGTTCCTATTACAATGCTCTAAAACCATTGACAACTACGTGAACATCCTTAATATGTATATCTTATTTTGGTTATGTTATTTATGGTTGAGGTCCCCACAGCAAACTGGGTGTGCCAGCGTTTAGCTTAGGTGTCAGATTACTATAGATCATTTGGTAGATCAGAATTTTTTTTACTCAGGAATCACGATTCTCATGAATATAATAAATAGTGAGTTTCTTATAAATGTTATCAAAAATTTATTTGGTATACCAAAATATTCACGAGAATATTGAGTTAATTTTCTTAATGCTATGTTTGGTTGATTATAAAACATTGTTAGGAATGTGAATTGAGATTAATTATGTCCCAAAACAATTATCAAATATTCTCGTCAGATGAAATTATCAAAATAACACTCATTTGGTAGTATTTTAAAACAAAATTTTTTTTTATAAACATAAATCTCGGAAATCCAACTTTTCAAAAATAAAATTATAATCCTCATGTCCAATGTGGATAAATTAAATTTTCAATTAAATTTTTTCCTTTTACAATGTTCCAAACTGATATAGGTAAGTTTAAACCTTTCCTATCTATTTTATCTCTATCACACACTCAAATATTTTCTCTCATTTCTCTATATCTTTTAGTTATCAATATTTTATTGAAGTAGAGATAAATCCTACAATAAGGTTCAAGTCCCTTTATCTCAATTCCTTTCTCTTCCATATCCCAAACTTAATGAAGCATAAAAGCAATCAGTGTTTTTTTGGAGAAGTTAATCAATGCCGATGTGGTTTGCTTCAGAATCATTTATGCTCCTATGATTTTTTTTCTATCACATATGCTCCTGTGCTTTGTAAAAAATAAGAAATCACAGGAATATATATGTGATAAAAAACATACCTTTTTACAAACCACAGGGGCATATGTGATAAGAAAAAACCACAGGGGCATAAGTAATTCTGAAGTAAATCACCGGGATTGGTTAACTTTTCCCTATTTTTTTTTGTATAAAAGTTCTCTTATTTATCTCACCCTTTCTGGTTGCTGCAGATTCTCTAAAAGCCACTAGTTTTCTCTATTATCATTATCTAAAAGACTACACTTACAGATATGTTCTGTGCTTCCCAAGCCTCAACAGCTATATGTCTTAGCATGGATCAAGCTTCATGCTCCTCTTCCAATACCATTCAACTTGGAGGCCGAGCCATTGATCGCCACAACCCCATTATCAGTGAATCAAGAAGAAGCACCTCCAAGGCTCTCACTGCCCCATGTTCTTCTCACCCACCCATCAACCCCAAGCCTTACCATAACAACCAAAAGGACAAGAAAAACTCTTCTTCAAAGCCAAATGGCCAGAACAAGAAAAAATCAACAAAGGGTCATGATGAGAAGAAGAAAAATTTAACAGAAAAGCTCACTGAACATGTCACCAACAAATACTCTTCTAAGCCAATGGATCGTACTCCTGGTTCAACTAGATCTTTGCTCAGTGAAACGGCCTTCTTGGATGGTTTATCAGATTATGATCCAGTTTTGGCATTAACTACGGTTGATAATAAAAAAGCTCAAATTGTTCATCAAGATGAAACCAACCCTGCATGTAAACCTTCTAGTTCTTCTCCAAAATCTGGTTCCCCAGACAAGGTTAGTTTTCTCTTTATCTCTCTCACAAAAATCCTGAATTTTCTACCTTTGTTAAGGTCACGGATTCACGGGTTCAAATTCAAGAAACAGTTTCTTTGCAAATATGCAAGTATAAGACTACGTACAAGGATGTCTCACCCCATCCTCACTAATCGAGTTTAATGAGAAGTGGTTTCTTGTTAAGGCTTCTCCACTTCTAATAGACTATTGTATCAGATGGATATAGGCATGTCTTGTAATTTATGGTATGGTTCATGAATAGTAATAAGCAAGTTTGGAAGCATGTTTTTGTGGAATAACCAAGACTAGACCATTGAAGGTGAAACTATGCACTACTTAAATATTTTTATAATTGATTTGAGTAAATTCTTTAGCAGGTTGTAGAACTTAAGGTTTCTTTGCATTGCAAAGGCTGTGAAGGGAAGGTGAGGAAACAGCTCTCCAGAATGCAAGGTAAGTCACCTTTTTTACATGTAACATTCAAGTTATTTCCCTTAGAAGGGATCTTCATATTATTATTGATTGTATGAACAGGAGTTACTTCCTTCAACATAAATTATAAGTCAAAGAAGGTGACAGTAGTTGGGGATGTGACTCCATTGAGCGTCTTGGCATGCATTTCAAAGGTGAAGAATGCACAATTTTGGCCACCATCTGCCTCAGAAGTTGGATCTGGTATCGTAGAAACAGAGAAAAAAAAATTATCTAATTGAATGGAAAGTAGAATATAGGTATTAATGTATGCTTTGAGTGTGAATTAGATGGTAATTTAATTATTGTAAATGCAAATGTTAGCAAGAGTAGTAGGTGTGGCTTTGAAAGCAGTAAAGAAATGGTAAGAGTATAAATTTATCGGAAGGAATCAATCAAAGCCACTATAATTTATTTATTTATTTTTTTAATTTATGTAGAGAATTGCTTTAATTCATTGATGAACCAAAAAATCGTTAATTTGTACATCATGCCACCTCATATTTTTAAAATTTATAGGAAAACTCTTTTATACAATTATATGCAGTGGCAGACGTGTGTGTGCAAGTGTGTCCACTTGCACACACAAATTTTTTGGAGAAAAAAAGAATAAAATATATTTTAGATCATCAATAAAAATTACAGAACCCAATTTAATTTCTTAAAAAAAAGTCGACTCGTGATTCTTTTAAATTTTAAATTAGACTCATGTTAGTTCTTTTGAGAGATTAATGTGGATCTTTTTGAATTTTAGAGGATCATAATTTTGATTATCTGGGTCTATTTTTGAATTATGAGAGATCACGAATAGACTTTTTTTCCCAAAGGGGGCGTTTGGTAGAGGAGAAAAAAAAATTTACTAGGGAAATACAATTACTGGAAAAATGGTAGAAAAGTAAGTTTGATAGAAAAATTTAAAAAAAATTATTTGGTTGACCGAAATATTACTGAAAAATTTATTTAAATTTGCAAAGTCTATGTTTGATTGAATGTAAAATAATGATGGGAAAATAGGTTAAATTGACGAAAATACCCCCATTATAAATTTTTTAAAAGAACCATTAAAAGTGAGTCTCTTATACTTATCGGTACTAATTAATGCAAGTTTGTCACCTACCATCCCTCCTAGTCCTTCTCCTAGTTTTTTTTTTTTATTACTTCTTACAAAATTAAAACAACCATATTTTGCAGTTTTTGCTTTGTTTGAACTTGAAGTGTCCCTCCTTAAAAATCGTGCCCAGAGCTGCAGACGAGGAATAAATTTTAGGTGCATCTGTTGCACTTAGATTCAGTGCATCCTACCAATGGAAGCATTACACATTAGATGAGAGAAAAAGAATTTGGCAGAAGAAAGAGAATATTGGCTGACATGTAATATTTTTATTAGTGGGATGCACTGAATCTTTGGTGCAATAGTAGCACCAAAGATTTATTCGCGGACGAGAATGGATCAAAATGTTGTGGAAGTGAAGTCATTCACTATGAAAGTCAATTTGGTCCATAACTTTTCCCCCATTTTTCCACTTCTTCATCTATCCCAAAATACTATATCTCAAATGGTTTTTTGGAATAGTAAAAATCGACACAAAAAGAGCTTCTTATGCTTCCTAATCTCCTAGTATTTTTTTTTTACAAACTTATACCAAACATGGTATTTCTCAACATCCACTTTCACTTCCTCATCAAACTCAAAATAAAATCTATATCAAACACATCCTAAGAGATTAAATTGAGGCCCGTAATTTTTGTTGAGGACCCAAAATATTCTATTGTAACAGTTTAATGGCCTCTTGATTACTTTTTTTATATTAAGTTAAAGTTTTTTTTTCTTTTTTTACTTATATTCTTTTATATTTTACTATATTTAAAATTTTCTTTAAAATTTTTTTCTTTATTCTTTTATTCTAAGTGTGCAGACATTAAAAAAAATTTCTAGGTCCGCTATTGATCATATGTATTAGTAATTTTCTGTGGGAAAGGGAAAAAAAAACCTACTGTCACAGGATTTTTGTTTTTTAGGGGATTTTTGGTAGAGAAAAAATTGTCCACGAAAGTGGAGTGAGGAAAATAGTTTAGCCATGTTTGGTAGGAGTAAAAGAAAAAATGGGTAGCAAAATTTTTTGGCTTGGAAACATGTTTTACACGTGATCTCATTATAAAATATTATCATCCAATGTGTGGTAAAAATATTTGCCTACACCTAACACATATTTTCTTATCTTACCCGGCAATAAATTTTGGCATACCAAACACATTTTCTTATCTTACCCAGCAATAAATTTTTTCTACCATGTTCCTGACAAATTTCTTTTCCTGATGAAAAAAAATATCCCCTCTACCAAACGCCCCCTAATGTGAGAATAGTTGTTACGCCACTATTAGCATGGTTATACTGTTTTTGTGAAAGGTAATTGTAGTCTCAGGAGACATCAAAATTTTGTTGTCTCGTGCAGACTTAATTTAAAGTGGGGCCCAATAGAAAAAATAAAAGAAAAAAGAAAAAAAAGAAATGGCACAAGTATGGATGTATGGACATGAGATAAAAAAAAGAATAAATACTCTTTTTGGTCCTCAACAAATTTCACGACGCCCGTTTTAGTCCCTAGCAAATAAAAGGGCCCATCGTGGTCCCTAAAAAATTTAAAATGGACTCATTTAGTTGAAATCGTGGCCTCACAAATTCAAAAAAGACCCATATTAGTCCCTAAAAAGATTAAAATGGATCTATTTTGAATTTCTTAGGGACCACAATGGGCCTTTTTATTTGCTAGGGATTAAAGCAGGCATCGTAAAATATGCTGAGGATCAAAAATAATATTTAATCTAAAAAAAAATTCCTATTGCATAAGACTAACATGGCCCTTTTGTGAATATAAAATTTGGACAGTAGCAACAGTCAATTTTTGAAATTTGTCGGCCATGCGCCATTTTTCTATTCATTTCCCCATGGTTTTGGCACTAATACTGCCCACGCCACTGTGTTTCCCAAATTATTTTTTTCTTTTCTCTATTCTACTTGATAAACGTTTAGATTAGGAAAATATTTAACAATTTCATTAAATATTTAAAGCAAAATATCATACCCTTTTAAATCACTAGATTGGTGTAATAATAAGATATTTGAATAGTTTATATTAGATTATAGGGATAGGATATTGTAACAACCAATTAGTGTTACTACCAATGTTACTACCAATCAATTTCACCGTTAGATCGATTATGTGGATCTAATGGTTATATTTATTTCCATCTTAGTATGGTTATGATTCTCCATAGGGGTGTTCAAAATATCCAAAAGAACCAAACTAATCCATAACCAAACTGCTCCACATTTTAAAAATCAGTTATTTTTAAAAACCGGTTTCATATGAAACCACATCTTATTTTATAAATCGGTTATTTACCAAACCATAAAAATAATAGAGTATCCATGATTATCCATAATCAAACAGCTCTACAATAACTAATAACTAAATCTGTTTTGGCTAACATGTTTACTGATGAAATTCCTCTTATGGTTTTTGCTTTCCCGTGAATACTGATTTCGTCGTCTCGTTTTTGTGCTTGTTTATAGTCTCTCTTTTTTATTTTTTATTTTTGTCTTTAATCGTAATTGTGACAGGGTATTTATAAGTTACTAACTTGATTGGGGGAAAACTTATAATTAGAGGTATTCAAATTTCAAAATGTTCAAAAAAACCAAATAATGAAGTTTCTTGCAAAAATAATAATTGGCCAACTACCTGTAACCGGTTTATGGTTTATAACCGCTATTGATTTAAAACCGATTTTAAATTAAAACCAGTTCAAAACCAATTTTAAATCAAAATCGGTTATGAACCATAAACCGGTTTGAAAAATCAAAAACCGGTTTTAAAAAAAGAAATCTGGTTCGGTTTGAAAACCAAACCGCTTAAAATTGGTTTGGTTCAGATTTTGTCAAAACTGATTATGAACCGCTCCATGCACATCCCCCATTCTCCATATTTAATGTGAAAGCATTAAATATGAAAAATCATAATTATGCAAAAGTATTAAATATGGAAAATCATAACCATATAAAGATAGAAATAAATATAACCGTTGGATCAATATAATCGATCTAACGGTGAAATTGATTGATAATAATATTAATAGTAACACTAATTGGTTGTTACAATATTCTTCCTCTACATTATATATTCAATTTTCACCTTTATACCTAAAAAAATATCAGCCACTTTTCCACAATGATTATCAAAAGCCCGTGTTACTATGTACCAAGACAAAGCCTTTCAAGCCTTAGTATTTGTGGGTCTAACTGCCCGTTTAGATGGACTTTTATTCCTAAAACAATTATTTTTTTTAAAATAAAAGTTCTTTTGAGAATTTTTAGTTGTTTGGATAATAATTTTTAAAAAAGCAAAATTTAAAATAAAAGTTAAAATGCTGCTTTTTTTATAGCCAGTAATTAGTTGCTTCTGAAAATATCAAAAATTAAAAGATAATATAATATATTTTTTTGGAAAAAAGATAATATAAATTTTTAAAATACAATTTTAACCTTATCCTATCATATCTATTTCATCTCTCCTTATTATGGGTGCTAAACAAACCAAGGGCATTTGACTCGGCTCGTAAAGGCCTGAGCTTACATGTCTAAAATTGGTTGTTGACATCAGGCTTGAATTTGTATAAAAGCTTGTTTAATAAAAAGGCCACATGCTCCAATTTAAAAGCTCGGTCTTAAAGCTTCTAAGGCTGGCTTAGTATATTACTTTTTATTTATATTTTATTTTTTATACTACTTGTAATAGCCTCTCTTTCTCCTCAATCCATTTCACCCCATTGTATTGTTTAAACAGACTTTTTGAATGATTTTGTTTTATATTATATTGTTTGGATATAAATTGAATTTATGAATATTCATGAGATTACTAGTTTTGTTGATTGTATATTCTGTTTGGATAAATTTTTGTTGTCTTATTTTTTTTAAACAGGCTAACAAGCTAAACAAGGCTTTTATTTTTTGTAAATAAGTCAGGTCACAGGCCGATAGTTATATTTATAACAGGTAACAGGCTTGATCAGGCTGACACATTTAAACACAGGCTTAGTCTTTTAAGACCAAAGCTCGGCTCGGCTCGGCCCGTTAACACCCCTACTCCTTATCCCACGATTATGCTATTTTATCTCTCCTTTATTTTAATTTTATATATAAAAAGTGTTTTTTTTTTTTATTTTAACATCCAAACAACTTTTTAATGTAAAAGTGATTTTCAGATCATATATCCAAACGTAAAATAACTTTACCTTTTAAAAATAGTTATTTTAAAAAAAGTAATATATAAAAAGTCATTTTTTTAAAAGATCATCCAAACGGACCCTAAAGCTTGGATCTCCGACAAGAAGATAGTCACTAGAGCTGGCAAAATGGGCTCAGCTCACCGGGCTGGCCCGCCCCGCCCGCCAAACGGGGCGGGACGGGCTGAATTTTTCATATCCGCTGCTCGCCAGCTCGCCTGGGCTGATTTTTTTTTTTTTAATTTTTAGTCTAAAATATCACGTGCTTGACGGGCAGCCTGCCCCGCCTGCCCAAACGGAATGAGACGGGACGAGATTTCTAGCCCACCTTCGAAGGCAGCGCGAGGCGGCCAGCCCGCCTATGAGTAGCTGGGGCGGGCCGCTTTGCCACCTCTAATAGTCAAAGACGAATCCATATCTACCTATAAATCAAGTACAGAAGCTCAGTAATTTTGTAAATCCAACGCCGAGAGCAAACTTAATCGAACTCAATGGTGACAAAAATGACAAGTGAATGCTTGTTTAGTGTTCTAAATGCCAAGTTGTGGTTGTACGAATAACCTGATGGTGACTGAGGAAGAAGTTGCACATGGGAACAATTTTGGCGAATAAGTTAATTTTGCACTGCTTCGTCAAGGGACACAATAAATTCAATGCCGTATATAGTAGGTTCATGGGTTACAGTGTCATATAAATAAAACTCTAGTATAAGATTTTTTGTACACACCATTTTATATTAAAATTTGACATTATTTAATTATCATACAATAAATTTTTTAATATTTGAGTTTAATTTTAATGTACTATAATTATAAAAGAAGTTTAACATTTATCATTTAATGATGCCTTGTTATTTTACTTAATAAACTTGATAAACTTATTATATAATAGTATAGAACTTTTTTATACTGAGTTCATATAAATTGAATTCTTAAATCGGTCGTGGTTCACGAGTTTGAACCACCGATTGCAGTATTGCAATCTGAGGTTTAACGGTAACAAGGTTCATAGCTATTGTCCAATCTGTGTGACTTTGTGGTGTCGCCATCCGTTTCTTTCATTCAATAAGTATATAGCTGTATTTCTTACCAAAAAACAAATAAAGACAAAAAAAATTCTCAGCATCATCAATGCTAAGCGGTGCTCAAATGGCATTGTATAGATGCCAATATCCCAATTCAATTGGGCTCAAACTTTTCACTCATTTTTCTCTCTCTAGTTTTGATCTTTGTCCAAATCTTTAACACTTTGGCACAATATTTAATATGAAGGTTAAAGTAATTGAAAAATATCAAAATATCATAAATTTATTTTCTTAAAAAAAATCAATTCATTCAATTTAACCTACAAAAATCAATAAAATAATAATAATTTCTGTGCTTGCACGGGTATTTACATGTTATTAGCTAAATCAAAAGTTGAACATTGTTGATTCGAATGTTATCACATCTCTTGGTTGAAATGCTAAATGCCTGAAATGCAAATTGAAATATCCACCATAGCTAGCTAGCTAGCTTTCTTCCATTTTCCGTCAATTTATTCACATGCTCATACGTCTGATGAGAGAAAAAAGAAAGATGATGATCCCTTTTATTCATCTTCTGATGAAATTAACATTGTCCTACTTGATTAACATTACAGGGAAACTTACAAAGAACAAATATACTCTCGGGTACAAAATTTCTAGGTACCGGCTATCTCTGCAACTAGATCATCTAATAATAATCTCTCAACTTCCCTCCCTATTACATCAATGTCATCTCTTAAACACAACCACTGCGATTCCTTATCCAGCACCTTCCCCAGAGCGTCATCCTTTACTTTTCCTTGGCTCTTTAGCATCATATAAAGACCATCTTGAAGCCCATTTTTAATCAATTTAGAACCAATATTTGTGGTTGCAGGGCTCACCCATGGTTGTGCAAACGTGGATTGCTCATGGATCTTGACGATTCCTGAATTTATACGGTCAAAAAGCAATCTCCTTTCAGACCTTGAACAAGTAGTCCAATCACAGTACCTCTTTTCAAGCTCATCAAACACCGATAGACTCACAGGGCATTCTAGAGAATGCCAAACTTCCAACATTGTATCGGGCTGAGCTCCATCAATGCATGATTTAGACAAGACATCAAAAATGTAGGAAGACTCCCAACTATCTTCAATTCTACATAATCCATTGTCTTCTGACATTCTAGTAGATGTTTCCCCTCCTTCTTCATCACTTGAAATTAGCATGGGTCCCTCCACATATTCTTCAGATTCCAACTTTAGCAACTTGAGTTGCATTCGCAGTCCTATCGACAATAAAGGTTCATTAAAATAAGGAACCAGGAAAAAGGCACAAGCCTAAAGAGAAATTTATATATGCTTAGGAGAATACTGATCAATCCTTAAAAAACACGTTTTCAATTAAGCTCTATAAGATAATTGATGAAAGCTTCAAAACGGAGGATGGCTGAAAATATGAGCATCAAATTCATTGTGCTGGTGATTTATGATGTCTAACAAATATAACAGCTATTTAACTCAACTCACAATTATCACATCTAACAAGGTTAGCAAGGGAATTTTAAGATACTAGGACCTCAAAGACATTAACATAATTGGCAAGAGATTGATGAAGCAAATATGAAGTCATTGATCAGATTATCACTAAAAAACTATAATGTAACAGCAGTCAGCAGCTATCCATTCAGAATGCAATCCTGGTATTAATAAATTATCAGATCTAACTTCAATTCACTAAAAGGAAAAATTCACTGGTTAAAACTTAAAAGAAGGCCCTTATACCAAAAAATTTATAAACTCAAAAAAACATTAACACTGCATTTTTTTCCCATAAAACAAACCATGCTATAGTTAAATAATAAATTCGCCAAACGCCCCAAACCTAATACAAAAAATTGGTCTCCACTTTCTACAGTATGTACCATCCGAATGGAAGAAGGAATATATCATTGTCAAGAACACGACCAAGCTAACAAGGCAAAACACAGAAATTGCTTTCCATCTAATTGTTCAATCTCTCATGGTCATGGAACTGTAAATCTGCATGTACTACTCCTATTTTCTTCTCAAGTAGAACATAGAAAAAAAAAGTTTAATATTGCACCACCATGGTTAACTATCGCTGTTTATTGCCATGGAAATTATGACAAAACACATGGCAATAAGGATTCAGTAACTAAAGGGAATAAATATAGACACACACATAAGATGGGGACTAAAAACAACATTAACATTGCAGAATAATCAAATAAATGCCTGGTACAGTTACCTTGTAGGTCAGAACTGAGACTTTCAAAATAAAGGAAATATAGATATTACTAATTAAAAGAAATAAATATGGAACCAGTCATAGGATGGGAACTAAATACAACATTAACATTGCAGAATAAACAAAATAAATGCCTAGTTCAGTTACCTTGTAGGTCAGCACTGAGACTTTCAAAACATTCAGAACAAGATGACAGATCATCTGTAAAAGAAGGTTCTAGGACTGAGACTGGACTGGGTTGATCAGCATCTTTACAGCACGAAGATTCAAGTTCAGGTGCAGGTGGTTCAAAGAAGACTGAATTTCCATTAGAAGACCCAACTGATAGTTCCTGAAATATTACAACATATCAAGTAAGAAGAAAGTGAAATATAATGGAACTTTGGGATTTTTATAAGTATTAATTACTGGCCAACATATTACATCATTGAGAAAATAGAACTATCCTCTTATATCTTCGTAAGTTTAGGAATGCATCTACTATGGCATCTAAACAGTTGTGCAAAATATTAATAGCAACAAAATGAACTCTGTCATGTATTAATAATTTCTAAAACATTTACATGTTTTAAAACTTTCCATATTTAACTCGAGTAACACCAAGTTCAGAAAGAATAATGAAAATATTTGGGAAAGACCAACCTGATTGACAGGTGAAAGAACTAACAATGCGTAGGAAAAGATTGAAGCAGACAAAAGAGATGAGAACGTAATGTAACACAAAACATGTAGTGAAGTTTATTACCAATTGCGTAAGGGATCACATACTGATATACAATAGCTAGCACATCCTGCTTTTGGCTACATAGAAGCTCGGTTTGGAAGTTTCATATATCAGTTAAAACAAGAGGTTTTTAGCTAATTAGACTCGCTCAATTTGACAATCTCCATGATAAGTGAATTAATTGGGTTTATGTGATATAAGATGATTTGGGATAAAGGTGTTGTTGATGTTGATGAATGTGGTATAAGATGAATATCAAGTTAAGAGCCAAATCATTGCTCTAGTGGATTGAGAGAGTAGACTTGTTTAGTAAAATTAAGATGATCATAGCATTTGTGAGATGTCAACAAACTTATCATTGGAATACCAATTGAAAATGTTAGAAATTTAACCTGATGTACTGAATTGTCTTTGTCATCAGCACTACCGTTGCCTTTCATCAAAACACAAGAAGATAATTCCGGAAGCACCTTATCAGAAGAAGATTCAGAAGACACAACTGCATATTCATTTGCCACATTTACAACATCATCAGTAACTGCAATTGTATCTCTGCAGGTCCCGGCAAAGGATTCAGTGGGCAGAACCTCTAGCTTGGGTGAATCTTCTTCAAGATTGATCTTCATTTTATTCTGAATTGTATTTAATTCTGGAGAAAACTCATTACTTTCGAGCTTTGATGAATGCAAAGACCAAGACTTGTGACCAGATTTTGTGCTTTTAGTATTCACACCATGTCTATGGTCAAGACTCTTTGTTGCTCTTTTCCTCTCCCGTTTAAGGGCTTCCTTTGGAACCATAAATCGATCATCACGAAGTGCTTCAGTACGCAAGAATGTCCTTGGACTTCCAAAGGCAGTAGATGAAGCAGGAAGAGATTTTGACCTGGACAAACTTCCAATACATCCGTCCTTCCAACCATCCTTGCTGCTGATACCAAATGGCTCAACCCACCCGGCAGGTTCACCATGGCGATCAAACTTATTACGGAAACCTTCCCTACTAGCCATGCTGTCAAAATTTGCAGCCTTCATTTCCTTATCAGGGACAGCAAGCATTTCAGCTAGCGTGTTGCTCCTGCTGATGACTTGGACCTCTTGAGATTTGTGCGTCATTTTCCACCTCTCTGATAATCTCTTCTTTGCCTCTCTACTAACAGATGATTCACTAGAATGGGGTGACCGCCGGCAACGGTTATTTAAGTCAAATGAGTTTCCCAAAGTTGCAGTTGTTTCCTCTGGAGATTCATTCCCAGAAACACTAGATGAACTATCATCCCCAGCATATCCTCTAAATCTAGAAGGGGAGAACATCGTGCAACCATTGTTCAAACTATTTTTCATTTGCCTAGTGATTTCCTTTGCCATTTCTCTAGATTCCAAAGAATTGTGCCTCGAAGACCTGGCACTATCAGGCAAATTTGTCCTTTGATACAGTTCAGTGTCCCTAAATCTGACATCTGAAAATTCAGTGTCATTTCCGCACTCTGACAGAAAATTATGTGAAGAAAAAGGTGATGAAACAATTCTGGTATCATTCTGCATTTTTCCAAAATTGGGTTTTAGGACAACAATCTTTGTAGGTGCTGCATCTTGTTCATGACTACCTCTAAACTGAAGCTTAGATGATTTTGGTGAACTATGCATCACATGTCTTTTGTCAAAACGGCAAGGATAACCATCATGATGCTTCTGATGAGATCTATTGTAATTCAACAGTGGAGTCTCCCTATCTGACCTCCAATTGAGGTCCTGTTCATGCTTCTCAATATTCATAACTTCTTCATGACCAAAATGCGATTGGAGGGGGGTATCTTGAAGATCATTTAGATGCTTTTTAAACAGAGAATCTGGCCGCTTAAAGTATTTTAACAGAAGATCCTTGTTAGAGTCCAAAACCTCAAGTGTGTCACAGAAATCCTTTGAAGACTGCAAATCCTGGTAAGTTGCAAGGCGTTTGGCATCCATGAACTTCTGTTCAATGAAAGACATTTCAGCATCAGTGATCTTCATGTCTGCAGACCCCTGCAATGAATACCTACTGCTCTCTACCTTAGGGACCTCCGAGACCTCAAATACATCCTTAAATTCCTGCTGATCCTTTGAGCTTCTGCTAGACGATCTACCATCATATGGTGTTCCTCTGCTTCGAGTTTTCTCTAATTGTGTTGTCCTCGTTAGAAAGTTTTCTGACGAACCCTTATGCTGCTTATTAGCATGCTGCTGAAACGGCAACCCATCAAGACCCATCAACCTGGCAATAACACCTGGGGATCTTCTTTTGGATTCAGTTTCACGTGACATTTCTTCAGCTAATAAATTCTTAATGGGGGTTTTAAACCGTTGTTTAGAAGATCTCCACCCGAATTTTAATGAGAACTGCAAAAATAGCACATCCGCTCATTACTGTTGGTGTTTCTTTTCTACAAAATGATCACGTATAGAGAAGGAGAATGAAATGCAATATATAAATATAACAACCCATTGATTTAATTAAGTTAGTTTGTCCATTGATAAATGCTGCGACATAAATCATGGCCAATTGTAGAAAGACTAAGTCAAATAAAAAAGGAAAAACCAGCTTACCGAATCTTTTTCTGCAACCCCACCACCGCAAGAAACAGAATCAGGAGACAAATTCGGAATTTGTTGCTGTCTATGAACCTGCTTGTTCCCTGGAAATGAATTGTAAAAGCAATATTAGCATTAAATGAAGATTCAGGAGGAGATACGGGGAAACAATTCTTAAATACTTACGAGAAAATAAGGTTTGAAATTACAAGAACCAAGGCAAGGAAGCAATCAGGAAATTGTTATAGAAACATGAACCGCTTATCACACACACACACACAAAAAAAACGATTAAGATAAAAGCACTAGAAGAAGAGAACCCAATTGAACCATGAAGTAAATAAAATAAAATCAAAACATTTTTGGAAACAATCAGTGGCAGTGGCTAAGCACTGTAATGTGCTATCACAAGACATGATAACCGAGCAAAATCATACCGACAGCACCGCAGGAAAAGTTAGAAAGCAGGTAAAAAAAACGCATTTAAGCAAACAAGGTAGATTGGTCTTTATAATCGTAAGATTCGTAACAATTTGAATTTTGTCTTTATCTTTATTTATTTATTTTTCTTGGGATAGGTCCTTAAGGTTATGCTCCCTAGTTAAATTATATAAAATCAATATTTTTTATCAAAAGTAAAAATATTTTCCTTTAATAAATAGGAATAAAAAAATCAAAACTAAAATAACTAAAAATTGGTACCCAAAAAAAAAAAAAAAAAAACTAAAAATTATCGAGATTAGTACTCAATCATAAAATCCAAAAACCATATAAGTAAAAATAAACACAGAGAAAACCCAAATTAATACTAAAATCTACTTCAAATCCAAAAATAAATAAATAAAATAAAAAAAGACCAAGACTCATCCACCTTGGAATCGGCATTTGGAATTTTATTTTACTTTTTTGTAGCTAAAGTAGTAGAAGTTGAAGATTTTAATCGTTGTAACGACCACGACCACGAAACTCTGAAATTCTCCAGGTGAAGGAACCAGCTTAAACTCCATTTTCGATTTTGACAGGGAAAAAAAGAAGATGAAGAGCGATAGAGAGAGAGAGAGACTGACCTCGAGGAAGAGGTTGGTTCCGGGGTTCAGCGTTGGACTTGTTGTGACGGGATTTCTCCATAACGAGTCATGAAAGATGAAGAAATGCAGATCGAGAATCTGTAGAAGGTTCCACGAAGATGGCGAGAGAACAAAACCCTAGGATCTTCAGCTAGATCGAAATGCACATAGAAAGTGTGTGTTGTTGTGGTTGTGGGGATATAGATAGAGAAATTGAAGAGAGAGAAAGTGTGTGTGTGTGAGAGAGAGAGAGAGAGAGAGAGAGAGGCGATCATTAATGGTTGAGGTCCGTTAACTGCGTCTGCGTGGAGAGGGGGAAGTGACTAGTGAGTTATAGAGAGAGAGAGAGAGAGAGAGAGTGGGGAGTGTGGGGTTTCTATTTTGAACTTTCAAATAGAGAAATGCTGACACAGGAAATGCACACTCTGCGCGGGATTCGTGTGAGGTTTACGTCCACCTTCCCTCACACGTGTCACATACATTGGATACCACGCTTCCCTTGCTTCTTCTTGTTCTCTTCTGCTTTCTTAATTTCAAACCCCAATGGGATTCTTATGACCCTAACAATATTATAAAAATAAAATAAAAATGACTTATGCGATTCTTAAGTAGTTAAAAAAGCTGAACAAATAGTAAGAGGTGTTCTCCTAAGTAACGCAACTTTCTGGTTCTGTCATCTATGAATCAATTGCCAATCACTTTTTAAACTGTTTTGGTACACAAAAGTTCTAGATTCTCCTCGGTATAACACATTTTACATTTCATTTTTTGAAAAAAATTTAACGATTGAGCTATAAATGTTAACATCAAAAATTATTTAATCTTTTGAAAGAATTAGTGTTAGAAATTTGGCTGATGTATGAATTTATCCTTATGAAGCTTGAAAGTTCAGTTTGGAGACATGGTTGGGAGTCCTCGAGATCTAGAAAGCTTGCAAATTAAGGAGGCTTAGCTATATGTAGAACGAAAGACCAAGATACTCATGTAGTGCACAAGGGCTTCGAGTATAAAATAGGTGTTTTAATTTCAAGATTTTTTTTATATTACTTTTTTTTTTCTCTTATGGTGAAATTGTTTATCTTCTAGAGTAGAATAGGCATGCGATTTATTGAAGTACATTAAATTCGTGTGTAATTAATTAAATTCTCCTGGTGAACTGAACAAAGTGATATCAAAGTTGTTGGTTTTGGTCGGTTAGAACAAGAATCCAATGTAGTTATATGACCTAAACATGCTAATTGAGAATAATACAGTAAATATTATATTACCGAACATAGCTCGTATTGGGTAAATCATGATAAATTTAGTGTCTTCATTTTCTTTCCTTCTCTCTTTACTATTTTGCAATTGTGTATATATTTATATTTGGTCCCAACACTTACGTCACACTATCTTTTTCTTATGTTTGAATGGGGCCTAAAATAAAGATCTGAAGAGCTTGAAGAGATGATCGTCCACCTTAGCCCTTCCCCAAGCTCCACCTCTGTCTGATACATATATGCACATACCAATAGTACTTAATTATTTGTGGTTTTTGATAAATAGTGTTTTTCATGGTATTCATAGACTGTAATAATTAAATTACTAAGATGGTAGACATTCATAAAGATAGAAAATTGTGTTGGAAAATTGATTAGGAAACTTGAAGACCAAAGAGATTATGTTATAAATAGAATCAATGGTTAAGGTATGTTTTGAGAGAGAGAGAGAGAGAGAGAGAGAGAGAGAGAGAGAGAGAGAAACTAGTGACCTTGGATTAATGATAGACGATGTACTAGAGGCTTCAGATATAAATTAGATATCTTAATTCCATATATATTTGTGTACTTATTTTTTCTCTTATAGTGAAAATGTTTATATTTTGAAGTAAACATAAATTATATGGCTATTTTTTATTTTTTTTACATAATGATATGGCTATTTAGTTAAACCGTGTTTAGTTCTTGTCTTCTTGTGACTCCCACACCATTTTGTTAATTAACTCCCATAAATACTGGATAGTACGTAGTAGTTCTTGATATATGCTATCAAAGCTTCTTATTAAATACTAAGCTTATGAGAGGGTTGATTCAATTGTCCCTCTCTTCATTCATATTTATCAAAAGTAAAATTCTCTCTTCATTTAATATAATAAATACAATACTATAAAATACACTTTTTGTATGAATATTAATTAATTTATGCTGCGACTAAAATCAGTTATAACAAACTGATTTTATGTGTGTTATAAACTACAGAATAATTGAAAATATGGACATTCGTACAATTGTATAAATATAGTGAGTTGGAAAGCACACGAATAAATTATAATCTTTTTGATTTTAACCAAAAAAAAAAAGGATTAAAATAAAAAGTTCGAACCAAAATTAATCGTGTGAATTTTCCAACCATCGTGTTTTGTTTTATAACGATTTCGAGTGCGTTAATAAGGATGAGGATTAGTCCATGATCTAAAACAAACAGAAATGAACAATCTTAATTTGATCAAATTATGATAAATATGTCTGAATATAATGTTTTGATTTTTATGCAATAGAGGTGGAAATATTTAAGTAGATCAAAATATAAATAGGTTAATCGGAAACCTTTTTGTACACATCGCAGTCTAATTTTGAGGAGTAATATTAATTCAAATATATATAAACTTCTTAGTTAACTGAACATAATATTTGTTATGAACTAGATTCATATCTCAACAATTTATTCAATAAAGAATAAAACTTATTCAAATAATATCTTAGATAGCAAAGGATCAAGAAATTACACTGTTATTAGAACTCTAAACCTAGCTACAAGTAATTTCTTCTATAAATAAAACGTTGAAGCCTATTATGTACACATTTTTTTGTACCAAATTACTATTCCTGTCAACATTGTGCACACACTCATAACTCGGCTATAAGCCTATTAATTATACGCAATGATTAATATATTGATCTTGAGCCAATTAAATATATCTCTCATAGATATTTCTGAACACATACCTTTATAATAATACTCACAATATACCTAGTATCAAACAATATTATTATCAGAATAGCGTGGAAAAATATATAAACGTTTGCCCACTTGAACATTATCATTATTTTCCATGTTGACATTTATTGCAAAGGAAAAGATTGTCTTATGTGGTGTCACTCCACTCTTAATTTCTTTTCTCTTGTATTATAATTTAAATCACAATAAATAATTTGAATGTGTTTCCATTATTGTCGTCACATTAAAAAGTGCATCTTATATTTACAACAAAAAAAAAAAAATGCATCTTATGCTGCAGTATGAATCGGACAAAGTTTATTGTTTTAAACATCCTACCCTTTTATTAAAAAAATAAAAATAAACGGGATATGAAAGGTGCTAGATTACAAAATGCATCTAGCCAAAAGAATCTTTTAATTTTGAAAGCTAGAGAGCTTATTAAACACATCGATGTTTTGACAAAAATCCTTCATGTTTTGTTTTCTTGTGGTGTGATTTGCGAGTTTACGCACCCATTGTTTTGTTTTTGGGAGGCAGCCTGATTAGTCTGTTCAACCCAGGGATTTGTGTTAATAAGCCACGACAGTGTAACTCTGTAAAACATTTTTTTATTTCAGGCCTTATATGAATGAATTTTTCATTTTTTATCACCCTGAAAGTTGTAATGATTTACTCTCTTTTTTTAAAATAAAAATAAAATAAAAATAAAATAAAATTTTAGCAATGGTTTTTATATAATCATTGTTATAGGAAAGCACATTTAATATTCTTTACTTACATGTTTGACCCGAAAGTGGAGAAAAAAAGTATGCATGAGCATGGATAATAATGTTGATGCAGCTCAGTGAATAGTATTCGTTTATGATTGGATTTTTTTATTTTTTATTTTTTATTTTTTGAGATGAGGGGTGGTGTGGGGTAACTTAGGGTGGTGTCAATACAAAGCAAAGCATAATTGAACAAATTATTACACCCTATTATGCTTGATCAAAAGGAAACTCATAGCAGAGAATCTGAGAATGCCTCTTCTTAAGGTCAATATTGACGGGCCAAGACAATCATAATAGTGGTTATATACGATGTAATAGGGAAAAATATGTATCATTTTAAAGGATATAAAGTTGTGTCATTTTAAGTGAGAGAAAGAGATAAATCATGAAAGAAAGAATGGAGAGAAAAAGTTTTAAAAATATAAGTCTCACCTCTTTGTGAGAATGAAAGAATGTAAAGTGTATCATTTAAAATGACACACCTTTTTTCCAATACAATATTCAAATGCCATTTTTTACGCTAGCTTCTTCCCATAAGTAAAGTTTGTTTAATGGTATGGTCTCCATGCAAAAGCCGTCATTCATGCCAGAGAATAAAATTGAAGTAATTAATAGGGTCTGATTCAATTCATTTATTTTTTTTAAACTGTTTTTGAATATAAATTTTGAAAAAAAGAAGAAGATAATAATAAAACTTGTTTGAATATAGTTAAATTTAAAATTATAAAGAAATTACATTTATTTATAAAAAATATCGTTAATTAACTTTCATAATTACAAAATTACAATCATAAAAATAATTAAATCAAAAATATAATTTTTGGAAACATCCCTAAATTATTCTCTAATTGTAATCTTAAAAACTAAAAAACAATTATTGTTTTAAGAGTACTTTACAAAACAACTATTTTTGAACAAGTTTTTTTTTCTAATAACAAAAAACTATTATTTAAAATAGATATTAAACAGGCCAAAAATTCTCAAATCATAATGTTGGGGGTTCTGTTTCTGTATAGCTAGTTTGACGCTATTTTTCAATATTATATGTGTATATATAATTTTGCTTATAATCATGCGAGTATCTCCATCGTATTCTAATTTTTTTATTTTGTTAAACTTCAGATACAATCGCATGTGAATTTATATGAAAATTGTACATTTAGAGATTATTATTCTAACTATTAATGTAGGAAGACTAAGAAACTAGAAGATATATATATGGGTTTTATAAGAGTTATGTTGTAGGAAAAATGATTGTGTTATGTTATAGAGATTCGTTTTGCGTACCGATTTTTTTTTTTTTTTTGCTGCGGGCCCCACAAAATGTTATGTGTGTAGGAAACTTTTTGTGGTCGTGTTAAATGATAGATGATAAACTCTATATATATATATATATATACGAGCATAGACACAATGATGAACGTTTAAAATGAAAACATGAAAGTCAAAAAGGTAAAGAGCTAGGCAGCGGGTGCATGCCTCTACACTCTCTTTTTTTCTTTTTACTTTTAACTTCATTTGATTTCTCTCTTTTAAGGGATATTGCGGACTATGAGCTTCATGAGTCCACAGTGAGCAAAGTATTTGATATCATAATTGTGCGGTTGGACCAACTTTTCTCCATTTCAAGTCTTTGACTTGTTAAATGGGTTAGAATTATTGCACAAATATTTCAAGGACATGTTAAATGTGGTGGTTAACAAATTATGGGGCCAAACTTGGGTTCGGCGAATTCACTTGTGAGACCATGATCTGGTACCCATTCCCATACTTTACTTCCTTTTTTTATGGTAAGGGGAGGCATCTTTGGTTTCAGTGTCATCTCGATGGATCCAAAGGAAAAGACATCATAACAAGAAAGATAATTTTGTCCCCAACAACTTAGATTAAAGTTGCCTAAAGCATTGGATGGCATAACAATGATTGTGGACCTTCTATGTGTTGTTCCTCTTCTTTAATCAAATGGCTCCTCTTAGAAGCTTGTGAAAGCAAAGAGGCCTTGGAGCCCCACACCAACCGTAACATAATGAATCATAATGTCTTATAGTATTATATGACGCGATTATTGTCTGTATATATGGGTTTTGTTCATTCTTTCCAATTATCGATCTCTTACAATTTATTTAGGTCAATAATGTATGGCATATTTTGGGATAAGCAAACAAATCAATGGTTGGCTTCCATAGTGGTTGGCTCGAAACGGTTGATTGTACTACTGGCATATATTGTATGGTTTTCAATTTTTCATAAGCAAATTGAGACACAGAGATTAAGGACTAAAGAATTGTGTGACATTATATGGAATATTTTTCCATAGAAATGGTTAAAAAAAACTTAAGAGAGGGTAAAAAGCTTAAAGCAATTTGCCTAATTAATGTGATGTAGGTCCAAACAATTATGACTTTTGAATGGGGCAATGAATTTTCAACGAGTGTTATACGATCTTAATTCGGAAAATAAGGTATAATTACACTTGGGTATTTACGTACGACACCAAATCACCATCAGAAAGTAGAAGCTTTAAAACTTTAAAGTTTAATTTAACCTTGTGTTAGTAGTTTCTACCTAATAAGATTAGTCTCGTATTAAAAAAAAAAGGAGATCGCAAAAATAAATAAATAAAAATTAAAACTTTTGAGTGGCCTGAATATCTCTGTCACATCTTGGATTGGCAGGATTAGGACGAAAACCACAAAGAGCTCGGTTAAAACATCTTAATCACTTCCATAAATTAAAGAAGCCTATAAGTATAGGGTGGCCTAAAACACTTTGAAATCTAGTTTTGTTGTCTGCACAATTAGGCAAAAACATACGATTTAATTGCAACTTGATTTTTGAAACGTATTTACGTTAAGCTGCCCTTCCTTATTATTCCTTGTATAGGGACAGTGTTAGGTTTGAATCCATTTTTTTTTTTTATAGGTACCAATTAGTATCCGAAACGACAAAATTTACAAGAGCAGTGTTTGATTTCCTCCGTTAAGCTTCCCCCATCCTTTTTTTACTTTGGACAAAAAGCAATGTATTTGATTAGATATTAGATAGATGAGACCAATGGTAATGGTATCACATCAAGATAGGGCGCGTTTAAATGTGATTACAAACTCAAAAAATTTCGGCTCCTAAACTGGATGAAATGGCTGTTGATTAAGGTTCATCCTAATCTACAACAATGCTAGTTGCCTAGTAAAAGGTCAAATCAAATAGGAAGCCTAAAATTATATACTAAATTCATTCATCTATAATAACTGAATAAATATACACCAAACCCCTAAGAAGAAATATTAATAGTTACTTAGATGATTGAGAGAGCCAAGAGATTTTACCTGTGTACATATTCATATGCAGATCCACACAAGCAGACCCAAATCCCAAAGTTACGGGCTTATGATTTTTAATTTCCAGCCCTTTAAGCTCCCACAAACAGCCACTTCCTTTTTAAGTTCCCAAAATGTGTAAAATTGTAAAAAATTTAATTAAAAATGAATATAATACATAATTGCATGTCAAATTAAGAATTTCTCTTGCTAAGAGGAAAATGTCCTTCAAGACATCAATCATCCACCATGCTAACGTGCTATCAAGAGCAACGTAAGTTAATCACCCATGAAACAAAAGGACAACAACGGTGGTGCAAAGAATCATTTATATCTTTGTATTTCTCTCAATATTTTCAGTGATGGATTTTTTGTATTCAAAAAAAAAAGAAGGGTTATTCCGTTTTAAAATCAGAACGTACAACAAGCTTTTGAGAGAAAGCTTCAAAGAAGTACATACCTAAATGCATGTTTAGTAATCAATTATTTTGAAGAAATAATTACTCTTTCTAAAATCTCTCTTTAAGAAAAACTTTTGATTAACATATTTTTTGACACAAATTAAATTAATATAAACATACAAGCCAGACACAAATTAAATGTGGTTAGGTGGACAGTGGACACACACATGCACAATCAACGGAGAGACATTGGAAAGAGAGGGCCAGCCCGCGATGTAAAAGATTAACCAAATATTTTATTAAAGTCAGTGTATGAATGTAGTCTATGTTGCACCGACACGGACACGACACTCCGACACGTTAATTTTAAAAAATAAAATAAATTTTGACATGTTAGGACACGTTTTGATATTATATAATATTTTTAATTTATGTAGTATATATTATATTTAATATTCAATAATTTAACAAAAAAATAAAGCTAAACTTATAATACTCATCAATTTTGCAAAGAAATATAAGATATCCTAAATGTTTATATTAAACTCAATAAAATAGTAATCGTAATCCAACAAATTTAATAGTTGAAACTCAAAATGCAACGCAACATAATCTTTGAACCTTTTTTGAGTCTTTGCAACGAGTATTGGAGTGTTGGGAAGTGTCAAAGTATCGGTGAGTGTCGGAAAGTGTCAGACACGACACATCAGGGATATTAAAGTGTTGGTGCTTCATAGGATGTAGCCCACTAGATTTAGATTTATAAAAGACGTTGGGCCACGAAACAAAAAGATTAACTGAAATGTGTTCTAATTTAATTAAGGAACTAATGTTCTTTATATTATATGAAATAATTCTTATTTCCTACACACATATACAAGTATATGAAACTCATATAAGGTCATATGAAGAAAAAAGAAAAAAAAAAATTAACCCCACCTATTTTTATGTATATGTAAAAAAAATAAAATCATCTCCTATAATATAAAAAAAACATTAATCCCTTTAATTAATAGTCTCAAATTCAACGTATTAAAAATTCTGGATACGAACATGTATTAAAAATTTAAGATTTAAAGTTTAGGATTTAGATTTAAGGAACTTGGGTATGCACATGCCGTTTCAACCAAAAAAAAAAATCAGGCTACAGAACTCGGGTACCAACCGTCTGACACAAAATGAATAAAAGCAGGAAAAACAAAGGAGTCACTTAACATGCCAATAAACATATAAATAGACTACTTTTAAACCTCGATTCCATAGAAGTTGTCATCAGTTCATCACTGAGTAGTTGTTATCCAACAACCAGTACACCCTGAAACACAAAATATATTGCATAAAAACTGCGATCCCCATAATTATGCAATTCGTTTATCATCATTTATTTTGGATGTGGGGTCATTCAGATATCTCCAGCACAAAAAACACTACTCATTTTACGAGAAGGGTTATTTTTACAATTTAAAAATTTTATAACCTTTTATAACTTATTTTTTACTGTTCATTTTCATCAATCTAACAATTATAATTTATTAATAATTAATAAATATGATCTAATAAATCATAATCATTGGATTGACAAAAATTAACGACAAAAAAATAGGTTATAAAAAATTATAAGTGAAAAGAAGTTGTAAAAATAAGGTTCCTCCATTTTATTAGTAAGGATCGTCTCAAATACCGTATTACTGACCTAGCAGTATCTTTTAGTGGCAGATAATTGATCGAGTACCAAGGAAGGTATCATGTATCCAGTCTAATTACATTAAAAAAATGGCACAAAACAAATCCATCCATGCCACCTAAGCAAAATTCAACCAACTACAGTTACATTTTTGTGACACCAACAAAACAAGCTACACAATGACTTTCTTTAGGTCCTTGTTCTAGCAGTCTTACATCTAGTACTCCCGAAAAATGCAGGGTATGTCCTACAAATTATATTCATACTTTCATATTGATTTTAAATCTAGGAAAAGTTGCTTTGTAAATATAACCAGCCACATTTCAAAGTAAAATACTAAAATCTGAATAGATTCTGAAGAAAATGGAAAATGACAATACTCCAAGTAGCAGCATGAAGACAACACTATACTACATAAGCAACAAAGCCGAATAATTAAAAAAGAGTAAATGCTTGAAAACACAACCATAGCAGCAGTTCATGATCTTCCAAAATTGCTCATTAACTTGGAGAAGGGGTGGCAGCCTCTAATGAATCATATGAAAATCATAGCATAGTTCAACACTTTGTCAAAACTAATAGCACGGGACATGGCATCATCAGTGATGTTCTCATATTTTACCTGCCTGGTTGCCTCCTTAGTCCGTACTTTAATTGATCTGAACTAAAGACTATACCCTATGAAGTACATAAAAGAAGAAAGATCAAAACAGGACATAGGTGCACTTCAACTGGCAACTGATGAGAAAAAATCAAAAGGAATCTTTTAGTGTGTGTGTGCCCCTGTTTATATAATATGAACATATCTATCAGCACAATCAATAATATGCAGCACCGGGCAATTTCGAGGTATATGTAACACTCCACAAGATAGATAGGTTCATATCCATCATTCAAAGTTGAGACAGTAAAGCCATCATTTGAGTACCAAACAAGAATGAGCATAATTGGAATTTGGAAGCAACCATATTGCAGTCCATAGTTAATGGAATTACAATAAAATTTATCCAACACCATCAAAGATGCCATTGCATTAAGAATTTAATTTTCAAAGTAAATCCTAGTAATTTTCCACAGGGTTACTGCTTCCTGTATGTCAATCTCCAACAAGTCCACTCACAATGTACACAAAATATATCGAGTAATGATTGTAATTTTCAATGGAATTACCATGTTCAGAACCAACATTCTTGCTCGTGAAAGGTGTTCCAATATAGAGTATCACAGTTACGCAATTCAACTGTTTTGGTCGATGCAATGTAATGCCCTGGAAATAGACTAATGCACCAATTCTATTTTACTACATCAGAATAGCTCTGTTCATAAACCTCACTATCCACATCTACCAGTTATCCGACCAACAGTAATTTTGAACTACCATTTAAAGCAAGACTAATCACCTATAAAAGTACCATTTCCCTAAACAACTATCCAAATCATTTAACAAGCAAGGAGCATAAAAAAAAAATTCAAAAGAAAAAAGGGGCAACCTCTCGATAGAAACCGTACACAAATGCCATCTGGTTAAGAAATTCAGCAAGTCAACATTCTCAGCTCTTTGCTACTTCCTTATATTCTGTGAGAAAGTTTTAGAGTTGTTCTCGAAATACTCTTTATAAGGATGATCCTCTGGGAGAAGACTCCGATACTTCTCAAATTGTTTCTCGGCTTCATCTTTCTTTCTCATCATAGTATACACAACACCCTGACACAAGTAAGGTCTAAAATCACTTGGTTCTTCCTTCACAAGCTCCTGATACATCTTCATTGCATCAGAATAATCCCCTTCTATCACTTTAATCTGCGCAATCAACAGCTTCAAGTCCCTCACTTCTGAATCCATATTTTTCTCTTGGCAATGCTTCACAGCTTCTTCCACCCTCTTCGACAAATCCTTAGTTGACTCGTTCAATTCTGAAGTTACCAATAGAAGGCCGTGAAAAGCTTCAACGCGAAACGAGTCTTCCTTAAGCAAATCTTCGAAACCCTTTCTAGCCAATTCATATTCACCGTTGTGACTATACAAGTGAGCCTTCAACAGTGGCCACTCTAACTCCTCCGGTTCGAGCTCAATCAAACGGTCCATAACCTGAATCGCTTCTTCGATTTTCCGAGCTCTGACCTTAACCTCCACGAGTGACCTAAGAGCTTCGGCGTCATCGGGATTGTTTCTCAGTTGCTCTTCTATTGCCCTCTCGTTTTCTTCGATCGAAAGATTTTCGGTCGCGACGGACTCCGCCGCGGGAGGCATGAGGGCGGCGGCGGCGGGTTTGAGCTGAAGGCGCATGAAAAAGAATGCGGCTGCGGCTATGGCGATGCAGGTTGGTTCGGCGAGAGGTGAGAAAAAGGGGCTTAGGGTTTGGAGAAAGTTGGTTAAAGGGTTTTGGGGTTTGTGAAAAGCATGGTGTCTGGGTAACGGTGACGGTAACGGCGACGATGAGGCTCTGATGGATGATAATTGGAAGGGTGAAGAAGAGAATGGATGTGGTGGTTGTAGAGAGCGGAAGGAGAGGGAAGAGAAAGGTGTTGGTGTTGGCAATGAAGAATGGCGGTGAATGAGTGAAAGGTGAGAGTGACGGAATTTAGGGAGAGACTCCATGGCTAAGGTTGAAGAAGGAGGAGAGATACCCAAAACCCTGCTCTAACACGAGTACCAGAGGTTCTAACAAAACCCCTGAGAAATGAGAATATGCTCCCGATCAGGCAACGGTGTCGTTTCCTCACGCTAATTTTTTTTTTTTTTTTTTTTTTTTGTGAATCGAGATCATTTTACACCGATATAAGATCTTGACTATTGATGATTCTGCTTAAATCTAATGCTTTGAAATTTTATTTATGTGAGTCAGTAAATGCAAGTGGAATAATTCTCAAAATAGAGGGCAAAACATTTAATTCTTATATCGATGTAAGAATACTATATTTTTTTTATAGGTATTATAAAAGCTGATAAAATTTTGGTAATTGATCTTCTGTTAAAATTTTACATGACTTGGTCATGTAAAATTTTATATCTCTCTCTTTCTTCATTAATAGTAATTGAATTCCACTTATTTAATATATGTGAAAAAGATAGATATAAAGGTTTCACATGTACAAACAAAAATAATGGGATAATATATACATTTGGACTTGTTACTCGTGAATCAAACGGAATTTCAGAGGTTTTCCTTGACTGCCCGTGGATTCAGCAGCAGTTCAAAAGGTTGACCTATTCGGGAATTCCCGGATCTACGCTTATTTTCAACTCCCCGAAGCATTTCGTCGCTTACTACGCCCCTCCTAGTCTCATGTTACATGAGAGTAGTTCTCTTATGTTATAGAGAGAATTTCAGTGGGGCCCACCATTAAAAAGCAAAAAAGAAAAAGAAAAAAGAGGAGGTGCGATTTTCGAAGATAGAGAAAATAAGATAATTATCTCATGTAAAATAAGAGTAGTATTTCTCTATATATATATAGGGAAAAAAGTTTCTAATGTTACTTTAGACAACTTTGTCTAATGTTCATCAAAACGACGTCGTTTTGGGATTGAAAAATCAAAAAATTAGAATGATAAAGACTATTATAACCCTGAAATAAATTAAAATTACAAACACACCATGATTTTCGCCCCGAAACGACGTCGTTTCGATGAACATTAGATAAAGTTATCTAAAGTAACTTTAGAAAAACTAACCCTATATATATATATATATATATATATATATATATATATATATATATATATATATATGTAATCACACAACAGGATCAACATATACTAGCATAAGAATAATAAGTTTTATACTAAATCTTAACCATTGATTTTCGTACATCTAATGGTTGTAATTTATTGAGTCGCATTCATTTATTAATTATTAATTCTCAATAATTATAACCGTTAGATGCACGAAAATCAACGATTAAGATTAGATGTAAAACTTATTTTTTCTTTCTAGATACCACATGTATCCTTCACCTTAGGCAATCCTGTTCGGGACAGGTCCATGATTAAGGCTTTAAATTCTTTCTAAAGATGGTACTAGGAAGATCAAACACACTCTCACCCTCATCTGCTTAACTCTCATGAGCCAACTGAGCTATCATCATTTGGTAAGATTTATTATCTACATCGGTGTAAGTTGATCCCATCATATATATATATATATATATATATATATATATATATATACCTATTTTTTATGTGAATTTTTTGTATGCAAGTGCATCTTTAATGTGTTAAATATTAGGTTAATATATACATTTAGTTCTAGTAAACAATGAAAAAACACAAGGAGATAATTGATTAAGAAAAAGAAGTATACATAGGATTTAGTGTGGAGTAATTTATTGAGTCGCACTTGGAAGCAGTAACTGTCTAGCAGCGAAAGTTTTGGGGTGCATACTTAGGCCTTAACCTTGCCTAGGAGTGTGGCTATCGTAAGGTGTGGCTGAAGGGAGATTCAATGGTTGCTAAAGACCTGATAGTCAATGGGTGCCCAAACCACCACCCCTTGAGCAACCTTATCACACGTATCAGGGACCTTATTAATAGAGACTGGTCTATCTGCATCTCTCATTTCTTTAAAGAAGGTAATGGAGTGGCAGACTGGCTAGCCACCCATAGTTACAGTTCCAATTAGGATATGCAGATCTTTTCTTCCCCACCTCCAGCATGCCTAGATAGGTTAGCTTTGGATTCAAAGGGAATAGTTTTCCCCAGATTTGTATCTCGTTAAGTTCCATTACTCATCTTTCCAAAAAAAAAGCATAAAAGGTAAGTGATGAAATATTGAACCACATGGTGATTTTTGAATTTTTCCTTCACAAAAATTAAATAAAATGAAAAAAATATGATGACTGAACAAATTAATGGGGTGAATAAAAATTGCAAATAAATGGTTCTATGATAATATGTGCTTTTTTGTGATTTATGTGTGTCTTTTATATTTATCGGTCAATATATTTGAATGTATCATTATTATAAATGTATATGGTTTCTAAAGAAAAAAATATTATTGTCTTATTATTTTATTTTTTATTTTAATTATTTTTATGTAATTTTTTAATAAATTAAAAAGTAATATTTCTAACCTCCAAAAAAAAAGTAATATTTCAAAATAAAAGAAATAGAGTACCTATTAAAAAATTTGTTTACTTTTTGACCAAAAAAGTAATAAATTTATATTATTTAATCCTATTGACAAAAAATATAGTGATGTTCATCTCAAATCTCTTTTTTTTTACAAGAAAACATTAGAATAATCTAGTTTATTTGCAATGGTCTTATATCGCATTTGCTTGTTCAGTTTCACATTATTTCTCATATCAAGGTTTTTTATTTTCTTAATTGTTGCGAAGAAAAAGTTCAAAACTCTCTTATGATTTTATCTTTTATCATTACCCCCTTTGTGCTCCGTTTGTTTAATCGCTTATTGATAACTCATATTTTATTGCACTTATTTTTTACTCTTGATTAGTATTTTTAGGATTTATTTGAATAAAATAATGATGTTTTGAGTTAATTTACATTTTTAGTTTTTGATTGGGTTTAATTTATTTTTGTCAGAATTTTTCAGTTTTATGTTACTTCTGTATTTTGGCCATATCTTGGTCCATAGTTGTTGGATTGACTCCGTTCTTGTTGTATTTTTTAGATAACACAGAGGGATACAATTCTTATGAAGAGCTCGAAGCCCAATTCGGACTGGAAGCTGGTCGAATTCTTGCGTCAAGTCGGACACGTTTTGCTGAAGTTTTAGACTTGTAATTTAAATTAAAACCCAATTACATAAGTGGCCCAAAGCCAAGTTTTATTTTATTTTATTTATTTTATTTCGTATTTTAGACAGATGGGCCGATCAGAACTGAACCATAACCCGATTTGGGTAGGGGTATATGAAGGCAGAGTAGGAAACTATTATTCATTCTGTAATTTTCGAATTCTGGGATCAAAGCACTTTCTCTAAAGCATTCTTCATCTTTTTCTTCTTCTTCTTTTTATTTTATTTTAATCATGTTTACCTTAGCCATGCGAGGCTAAGAACTTTTTAATCAACCTAAGGGTAACGGATTCCATGGATTAGTCTTGAGGGTCTGCGCTTTATTGTAAATCAATTTCGTTTCTCTTCCCAACTCAGATTGGTATCGTGCGATCGTGGATATTCAATCTGAGGTTCGCGATTGCGATTATGGAAAGGGAATAATCATCAGATTTGATGATTAGATTGATTGATCCTATGACCTTAAATCAAACAGGCTGATACTCTGCGATTGTATGAGTAGAAGCACCGTATTTGATCAAATGCTAAGCGATCGCTTAGAAAGGGTCGTCAATTGAAAATAAGGATTCTGATTCAATTGACAATCAATCACGATTCTGACATTTTTTATTCGAGGAAAGACTTCCATGGAACCCTAACCTTAGGTTGGTTAATTTTTAATTACGAATTTTTATTCCAAATTTATATTCTACCTTTTTAATTATTCAATCAAAATCCAAAACCCCCTTTTAATTTTCTTTCATCATAAGCGATTTTTACCAAAACAATTTCCTTGAGAAACGACTTAGGGTTTCCACTTTACTACAAATTTTCTGAACCCTAATAAAAAATAATTTTTAATTTGCACGAGTTCGACAGCTCGTGTCACTTATCTCTGTGAATTTTTTTACTGTTTATTGGGACAAAATGAATAAATTAGCCCAACGTTTAACCGTGTCAAAAGTAACATGATTGAGGGAAATTAAAAGAGCAATAGGTGATATAAAAAAAATATAAGGGAATAACTTATTCTAAAGCAAATCATAAGAGATTTTTGAACTTTTCCCAAAATACACACACATATAAGTATTAAGTTCCACTTAGTGCACAATAACAAAATAATCAAATAAATATAAAGAAAACTAAATCGGTTACAAGTTATGTAAAACAAATATATGGTGTATCTATTTTGCAAGTGGACATATTGCTCTTGATTAACTAGATTAACTGTAAAAACATGGCTCTTGCCTCTAGAAGACTTTTGCCCAGGCTTGTAACCTGGTGGATAACTGTGAAGCTTGTACATTTATCAATGGTATGGCCATTATACTAGCAATGAGTGCAGATGGATGATTTTTACGATGAGCTTTGGATGATGTTTTGCTTTTACAACAAACGCCATAGTGTTGGCAGAGAACCTAATGCAATATGAAATGAAGAATCAACTTAGCATTGTTTTGCTTCTTTAAGTTACCAAAGAGAAAGCTTTAGTTATCAGTGTGTGGGGGCCATTTAGAAGGATTTGAGTTTGAAATTGAGCGAATAATCATTAAGTCCCATGAGAAAGGCCATGGTGTACTTCTATTGATAGTAAGAGGCAAGATTTTAGGCATATCCACATGTTTAAAGACCAAAATTGCATGAGGGATGAAAATTGCTCAGTTCTTCTCAAATAGACTTTAGTTTTTTGAAGTAGACACTAAATAAAGTTTGATCTTGAGTAAGATTTGTCAGATCACAATGTAATTGAAAAATCCTAAGTCTATTACTCTGTTGTAAACAATGTTGAACTTCAATCCAGATTTCCAAGATATATTCAGAGTATACGTTGCTGGCAGAAATTTCCTTTGAAATTGAATTCAAGATCCAAGAAATTACAACGTCATTGTTGTTAGTCC